GGCCCGGGAACTGCTGGATCTGGCTCTAATGTTGGCCGTTACCATCCCGGGGAAACTCACCATGGAGAAGGCCACCAGTTCTAATGCGACTGAATATGGTTAGTTGACACTTCGCAGGGAGGTGATGTAGGGGAAATTAGAGCTGAAGAGTGAGTCATGGTTAGAATAAAAGCTTTATTAAATTGTCTGCAATGTTGTTTTTTAGGCATACAAACTATCATCCTGGAGTTCACTCTTATTTATGTTTCCGTTGACGCCAGAACCATCAAATGCAGCTTCAAGGAGTCCATTCCCAACATTGTCCTTAGGCCTCAGGTCACTGGGCCTCTGCTCTGGGTCCCAACTCTGGGCCCCTCTTGCCATACCATTCCCCAGGGGGCAAGGAGTCCTCTGGGCTCAAAGGGACATTCCACTCACAGCCAGTACCCCAGACATGACTCCACTCACAGCCAGTACCCCGTCTTCTAGCCACACGCTGTGGGCACGCGTGACCCAGAATCCTCTACCTGAAAGGCCCCTTGTGGGCCTCTGCTCTAGTCCCTCCTCTCAGAGAGGACAGGTGTGCAGCTCGGAGCTCGCCCTTAGGCCTGTGTGGTGGAAGCCAAGGGGCGGCTGTCTGGGGATGGACGGAGCTCGGACTTGGAGCTGGGTGTCCGGTCTGTGACGGCGTCAACGCAGGCCAGAGCTGCGGCGGGAGAGAAGAGAACCGGCATCTTCCGTTTGCACTCCTGCGTCGGGTCCTGCAAATGCTGGGGGCAGGTCTGTCCCTTCCTGCCAGCCCGGGCAGCGAGGTTTGGTGGCTGCGAGGGCAGCATTTGTGCCGGTCTTTGAAGTTTTCCCCTCGCCTTTCCAATCTCAACCAAGTGAACTTGGTTTTCAGAGGGAATTGTGTTTCTGCTGTAACTACTACTAAACCAGCCACAGGAATTTCTTTTTGTTGAGACCTTTTTGTTTGTGTGACTTTAAAATTAATGCATGTTCATGTAAAAAACTCACGTAGAGTTGCTGTGAAATCTAGAAAAGAGAATGAAATTACTTCATAACCCATCTGTGCCAAGATAGCTACCATGAACGTTATGTGTATTTCCTTCCACTGTTGTTCTCGCTCTGTGGATATGTGCTTATACTGTGTACATAAATAATTCCTTTCCTACAATGTGGTGTCAGTGTGCTGATGGGAGACTGGGAGCAAGAGGCACGTGAATGGGTAAACTGGCCTGAGGGAGGAGCAGAGTGGGGTCAGCACAGGAAGCTGGGGAGACGAGAAGGCTGGGGGCACAGACAGGCAGGATTTGGCAGGAGGGACACACTCAGAGCGCAGGCCAAAGTCACCCTGGGGTTGCCCTCCGGCCACTGTGCACACTCCCGAGGGGGCTTCTCAGCAAGTCTCTCAGGTGGACACGACCCCTTTCCACACAACGACGTCACGACTTTCAGCCAATTATGGCCTAACGTCTCATTCTCAGGAGTCAGATGGACTTGTTTTCTTTGAGAATGGAAGGAAGGTAGGTTTCCCACACTGCTATTTCTAAGTTTGTGTAGAGAGTAGTCTGCATTTTAACACGCGATATAAAACCTTCACTCGCTGTGCCGGCTCCCGTTTACCCATTCACGTTCCTTTTGTCCCCGGTCTCCCATCTTTCCCCTTCCAGGTCCTGCCCAGCTGGCCAAACCATTCACTCCTACCCATGAGGCTGTGTCTGCTCTATCCTTGGGCCGCTGTGCTTTCCATACAGAGTGGATGACCAGGTGCATTATGCAAAGCTCTGCCCCTCGGGAGAGTTTCCCTCACGGCCTCTGAGTGGGGCTGTGGTGCAGATGCTGCCCATATCCGGCTTGTACGCACGTACTGAGGCAACACATTTGTGAGCTAAGCTCAGACTCTTTCCTTCTCCATCAGCCTGTCATAAGGGACCTCTCCCCCCACCGTGGAGCCACGGGTATGACTAAGGGAGGGACCTCTCAACATCCCCTCTGTGGAGCCACAGGTATGACAAAGGGAGGGACCTCTCACCCATCATGGAGCCACAGGGATGACCAGGGGAGGGGCCTCTCACCCCTCCGTGGAGCCACAGGTAGGAACTAGGGAGACACGCCGATGCAACAGCAGTGGATGGCTGGGGTCTGGTTACCTGCTCACCCAGCTTGCTTATTCCTTCCACCTCTGCTTGTGCTTGATTCTGGATGCACCAGTATCATCTTCCCTTATTGCTTCTGAGCTTACTCGATTGCATTTTAACAAGATCCTTAAGTTATCTGTGTGCATGATAAAATTAGAGAAGCACTCCGTAGTAGCAGACAAACATAAGGAGAGGTGGAAGTGACAGCGCCTTCCTGCCAGAGGACACAGGCAAAGGCTCCAAGGTGAGAAATAGAACAGGGAATCTGGGTGGCAAAGGGGAGAGGGTCATAAGACACCTCTGCAGAGACAGGCAGGGGCGGATTCACTGCAGTGCATTGGCCTCTGCGGGACCTGGGGCAGTGTTCTGTGGGAGGAATGGGAGCTGTGGGAAGGTTTCAGGCAAGGGCGTAATGTGATCGTTGTGTGTGTCCATAAATTTGTATATTACGTTGGCATCGATGTGGAGATGGTTTGAAGGGGAAGCAGAATGAATGCAGGGTGATCGTGAGGAGACGACTGCAGGAGTCAGGGGAGAGACAATGGCGGCTTGGAATAACATAGTAGCTATAGAAATTGAGAGAGACAGAGGCAGACTTAAGCAAGTTCTCTGAGGTGGGCTTGACAGGACTTCATGGCTGAGCGGAGGCGCACTGAGAGAAGAAGGCGGCTCGGAAGACTCCCCTGATTCTGGCATCTCGTGGTGGCTGTACTGACAAGCAGATCTGTTTAGGACACACTGAGTTTAAGGTGACTTTGAGACATCCAAGTGGCAATGGAAGGCAAGTGTTGGGTTGTCAGAGCTGGATCCCAGGTGGGAGAGGCCCAAGTGACAGGTAGAGAATCAGGCGTCATCCCCAGGCACGGGAAGGAAGGTCACCTGCAGGGAGAGGGTGTGAGACATAAGAAACCCTCAGCACCCTCAAGAATTCCAACATTTATAGACGTGGGGAGGAGGGGGTGGAGGGGCAGGAGGAGCCAGCAAAGGGACAAAATGGAGGCACCCACCAAAGAGACGGGGAGAAAGCAGGAGAAACAGAAACCTTGGGGAAGCTGGAGAAGCTGTGAGCATCCTAAGAACGTGCCCTCCCCCATCTGGGCCAGCACAGCATCAGGTGAGCCTTCCACACAGGTCCGTTCCTGCTACTTCTTGGCATTTCACACAGATCAAAGGCCGTTGTCCTTACAATGGTCTCGGGGCTCTGTGAGACTGCCCCATCCCCAAGTCTGCTCCAGTCACACAGGCCCCATTGCCATCCCAGGAACAGGCCAGGCACCCCCCGGAGGGACGCTGCTCTCCCCAGCAGGCTTCTCCCCTGGTGCCCATGGCCGCCGGTCTCACGCCCCACCACCCTCATTCCGTGCTCCCTGCCTCCCTCCCACTCCACCCGCCTCACCCCGCTCTGCCCTCACTCATTCCCTCAGCCCTTGAACTCGCCAGCACCCATCATTCTCCACAATTCGCTCATTTATTGTGTTTGTTATTTCCTGTCTCCCTCCCTGACCAGAATGTGGATTTGTTTACTGAGCTATCCTAAGGGACAGGAACAGTGCCTGGCGCGTAGTGGGTGCTCCTTAATGATCTATAGTATCAACGAGAAAAGCCACTCTTTACAGGGATTTAGAGGAACCACGTGCAACCATAACAAGAATGACCTTGGTCTCTAGTCTGAGGCCATCGAAGAGCCACTGCCATCTTCACCTGGCTCTGGGACAAGGGTCCCTAGTGGGGAGTGTGCAGGGAGAAGCGACCCCTCAGTGTAGATCCCGTGGATGGAAATGCAGTGGCCCAGGGATGATGTCTTGCTATTTAGCCCCCTTTGAGGGTTCCTGTCACTAAAAGCCATTGGGATAAATTTCTTATGATGCTCACAACTTCTCAATCTTTCCCACATTTACCATTTCTCTCTACGTATCTATTTTTTTAATTGAGATATAATTCACACACCATAAAAATCACTCTTTCAAAATGTGCAATTCAGTGGTTTTTAGTATATTCGCAGATTGTGCATCTTCACCACTATCTAATTCCAGAACATTTCCATCACCCCCAAAAGAAACCCCAGACTCATTGCGGTCACCTCCCCACTTAGTCCCTGGCAACCACCAATCTATTTTCTGTCTCTTTTCTGGGTGTCTCAGAAGGATGGAATCGTACCACATGTGGCCTTTTTGTGTCTGGCTTCTTTCACTTAGCATAACATCTTCAAGGTTCATCCATGCTGTAGCATGTGTTAGTGTGCCATTCTTTTGCATGGCTGAATAATATTCCCTTGTATGGCTATACCACATTTCGTCATCAGTTGACACAGTTGGGTTGCTTCCACTGATGGCTATTATGAATAACACTATGAACATTTGCGTACAAGTTTCTGCGTGAACATATGTTTTCAATTCTCTTGAGTATATACCTAGGAGTGGTCATATGATAATTCTGTTTAAATTTTTGAGGACTTGCCAGACTGTTTCACACAGCATCTGCACCATTTTCATTCTCCCCAGCAGTGGATAAGGGTTCCAATTTCTCCACATCCTTGTCAACACTTGCTATTGTCCATCATTTTGATTCTAGCCATACTAGTGTTGTGAAATGGTATCTCATTGTGCTTTTGATTTGCATTTGTTTAATGACTAATGAGTGTGAGTATCTTTTCAGATGCTTATTGGCCATTTATATATCTTCTTTGGAGAAATGTCTATTCAATTTCTTTGCCTGTGTTTAAATTGGGTTATCTTCCTGTTGTTGGGTGGTAAGACTTTTTTAATATATTCTGCATATTAAATCTTTATCAGATATGTGGTTTGCAAATATTTTCTCTCATTCTGTGGTTTGTCTTTTCAATTTCTTGAAGCATCTTTTGAAGCAAACACACAAAAGGTCTTAGTTTTGATAAAGTCCAATTTATTTATTTTTTTCTTTGGTTCCACCGACTCTTTAGATCCAGTGCCTGGATCCCCTCTGACAAGAAAAGGAGGGTGATGGCAGATGGGCACAAATGAGAAAATGACAACTTTACAGCCATACTAATAATACAATTATTTAGAAAATTGCCTTTCACCAGACAGTATAATTTCTGTCGGTGGATACAAGCCAACTACAGATCACATACAAGCCATCGTCTTCTATTCCATTCAGCTGGATGGATTTATGGCACCGACTAATGGAAAATATCATTGTAGAGAAAACCAGTTAGGATTCATGCCACTTAAAATATGATTTCTAAATTGCTTAAGCATATCTGTCAAAATCTCAATGGAACATTTAAGATCAGCGTCATATAAAAGCAATACTCTGTGAAGTGATTTCTGAACTGTGAAGTTCGTCTTTCAGACTTAGCATTTTAGAGCGCAGAGACCGGACAGATTGCTGTGTTGGAAGAGTCAGCCCATTTCCCCAGAAGTTTGTATCTGAATCATACGGGTATATTCCAAGGAACATAGGATCCAGGTTCATCTCTTGGAATCTAGAATAAAAGAACAAATTTGGACGTTGGCAACTTGGAAAATGGTCGTGAGAGGTGAAAAACAGCAAAATATGAAATAGGATAAAAAGCACCCAGAAGGCAAGCAGGACAAGGAGAGGTTTTGGCAGGACAGCCTGAGAATGTGGAGGGATCCAGGAGAGGAGCACAGTGGGCAGGGCAGCCGTGAGAGTCGTCATCTCACCCTTGAAGGGGGACAAATGAAAAGGGGAGTCAGTCTCTGTGTTTCTCCAATGTGAAGATGTGACTCACGGGGCTCAGGGAAAGCTACGGGGCACCGCAAGGAGCCAGCAGAGGAGGGAGTGGAGCAGGGGGCTCTGCCTCCAACATCAGGAATGACTTGTCTGTGGTCAGAGAGGTCACTTGATCCGGATGACTTCCTCCCACAATTAAAGATCTCGTTGCCCAAAATGACCAACGAGAGCTGAGAAGTTCGCTCCGCAGAGGCGCTGCTTGGCCGGGGGGTCAAAGGAGGGATGCCTGCCACTGGGCCTGAGCCAGAAAGAGCCCTTCTCACTCTGCCTTCAAGTTGGGAACTGCCCTCTCCCAGTGCCTGTTTGTGGTGGAGTGACACCGACAGGTGGAATGGCCCCTACATCCTTGGCCTGAGGGTCTTAGGTTCAGAGCACAGTTCCTGCACTTCTATTCCTGACACGGTGTTCTGGGAAGTGACCAGAACAAGGGAGGAACATATAACTGACCAATGAAGAATGAACCTTCTTTGTTCAAATGCTGTAGACCTGAGCCCTGCGGGGGGCCAGGCAGGGCCAGGCTGATGACAAATGCAATCCAAGGGCCACTCTGCTTTTCTCCTGCTCGAATGCCCTTTTCTTCTATGGAAAACCACCATGGTGGGTTCATGAAACTGACTACAAGGACAGGGGACAAGGATTTAGAATCTCGAGAGCAGAATGTACCATTTTTGTGAACTTATCTTCACAGGCCATTCTAATCTTCTCCGGGGTCAGTGGACTATCGAGCTTCAGGGGTCCAAGCAGGCCTCTCTCCTGTCGTGCTGCTCTCACCGCGTCGTGGATGGCGAAGAAGACTGAGCACCCCAGGAACACCCCAGGCTCTCCCAGACCCTGGAGGGAAACACATCCCCTAGATTACAACTCTTTTTCTGTATACACACGTACACGTGAATCTACAGGTACACACTGTATGTACGCATACATAAAATATTAAATATTCTATATGGAAGTTTTTCCTTTAAAAAGTAATTTAATATTTTAACCCAGTATTCTCATTCTTAGCATTCCAGCCTAAGGAAATGATCCCAGATGGAGAAGGCAGATATAGGTATGAAGATGATTATCGCAAAACAAAAAATCAGATACAACCTGAGGGTGAGAGCAGTTTGTTAGGCTCCAAGATCCAGAGTATTTCTTTTTTAATTTATGATGCTGTTAAATTACTTTATAATTAAAATGTTTAATAGGGATTTTTCTTCAATAATCCTGGTAAAAATCCCAAACAACTAAGAGACGAACGGAGCCCCCTCCAGGGTATCACACAAACGCACATTTACTCCTCGCGCTCGGCTCACCTTAGATGAATACAGCGTATTTGAGTTTTGAGACGGAGGCAGAAAAGAAACGTGCAGCTCTGTGGGGACGTCAGAGACGGCCGGGATTTTATACTGGTCGGGGCCACGAGTGAACAGAACTCCCTGAGGAGAATACTTCAGCTCCTCGATTGTATAGAGGCCCATGCCTTGAATAAAGGCGCCTTCAATCTGAGGCAAAAAAAAAAGAGATTCCACAGGTGAGAAAATATAGTCAACAGCGGCATTTCACTTCATGCGGTTTGTTTAAATTTATAAAATACCGCTTAAGAGGGTGTTCAGCGTGTCTTGGAGCATGTCTGAAAATTTAGTTAAAAGATTACCTAAAAGCATTTCTAAACATCTTATTCTGCACTAAGTTCAAAGTCAAAAGACCGGAGTTCGAATGTCAGCACAGAGCCCAACGCCCTCATTTCCCTGCCCGGGGGTCAGATGAAGCCCCCTCTGCGGGTCTGTCCCCAGACCCAGCACAGGTTCTCTCAGGGCTCCAGAATCCGGTCCTCTCATCCATCTACCCTTGCTCCCGAGCTGGCTGGCCTCACATCTCCGGACTTAGTTTCTCTGCTTGTAACGTGAAGGGTTTGGACTGTGTGCTCTCTGAGCTTCCCGTACAGCTTTAAATGCTCCAGTTCTTAGACGTCAGCACTGGGCCAAACTACCTTTCCACACACTTTTCTGACTTCCGGGTCTCTTCTTCCTTTGCTTCCTTCCTGTGGCCATATTTTGTCCACCCCACTCTCCATCCTCACTTCCGTCTACTGCCAGGGGTGTTCTCCTCCACCACGACATTAGATGACTCTTCCCACAGGTCCAGACCACTCCCCAGCACAAGTTACCTCCACCTGCTAAGTGAGGTGCCCGTCCTTAAAGAGTCTCTTGCCAATTATTTCAAATTGAAATAAAAAATGTCTGTGGACAAAATGGACTACCTGCCAATGCTACTGCTGTGACTGTGCGGCCGTGCTATCCTAGCCCAACTTTCCACTCCCGGATCTGGAGCCCGTCATCCGCCCGAGGCTCGGGGCCGGCACGACATTGTCCTTCTACGAGGTGTGGGGCTCACTTCGTCACCTCTAGGCCTAGTCCTGCCACATTCAAGCTCCCCAATCACAGACTATATGTTTCTTCAAAAACTACCTAAAACACCCATGTTTCCTTCCCAATTTCAAACAGTAAGAGGTTTGAGTTCTGGGGGCTGGCCTGAATGGAAAGATTCAGACGACAGGACAGAAGGACAACTTGATGACCCAGCTGGACAGAGTGCTTCCCTGCAGGCGCCCACAGCAGTCCTGGCTTCACAGACAGGAAGGAGGCAGCTCAGTTTACGTACCTGGCCTACGTCAAGGGCTGGGTTTATACTGTGGCCAATGTCCATGACAATGTCTGTTCTGATGTTCTAGTAAGAAAAGAAAAATGTTTATTTCAATGAATACAACTCAGGGAGAAAAAGTGAGAAACAGTTCCTGCCAGGATGACATTGGTACAGAACCTTTCTTTGGGCCACGTTATATTTCAGGAGGGAGAAGCAACCAAAGATTGCATTGTGTCACAAAAGTTTATTATGTATAACTGTCAAAGTTACACAAATACTCAACTGGCTTAAGCACTGATTTTTTTATTTCTTGGAAACAAGAGAGAAAAATATTCACTTGACTTTGATTCCAGCTGAGTGATGCAACATACTGAGTTCAATCCACTAGCACAGACATAACGTGACACAGAAAACAGAAAACATCCACGGCCTTCGTGATCCTTGTTGAAAAACAGCGTGGCCACCACCCAACCCAAGATCCAGAGTCCAAGTGGCTGGGTGAGATTTACCGAACCACAGAACTCAGGGTGCATCAGCAAAAAGGTCTTTCAAGTGCTATCTGCCCTTCCTGATTTTCCCTTTTTAGAGCAGAAGAAATAAATCTGACATTCCACTTGGTGACCAAAAGTTTCCCGATGATCTACAAATGAGGAGGAATCCAGCAGGCCCAGGCAGCTGCTGGTAACCCCCTTGCTCTCCAGCAAGGCTGTACCTTCTTTTATGTGACATAGTGGCTTCTGCCACGGCAAACAGATTCCACTTATAATTATTAATGGAACAAAGGAAACCCAAGAGTTTCCTTATTTGATCTGGGACTTTCAACTAACATTTTTCTTAAAAAAATTAGACAGCGATCCCGGATGTTTTAATATAATAAAACTTCAGGCACTCACCTCTTTTATTTAAAGACACAGTGAAAACTGTAAAGTTCTCTTCGACCCCATTTAGCAAAGCTGGTCTTCCAGGAGACCAGTAGCCTCAACGGGAGCTGAGGGCAGGTGCTCTTAAGGCTGCAGTGTTAATGAAGGCTTTGTGTCAAAGCTGTGGACTTACTACTGTTTGTCACTGTCTTCTGATAGGGCTGCAGAGAGATGTTCTAGGTGGTGGTAGCCAGCCTCCAAGATGGCCTTCAAGGATCCCCACCTCCTGGTATTCACATCCTTATGTAGTCCCCTCCACACTCTACCAGCGTGGTTGGTGTGACCAGTAGGCCATGGCAGAAGTAACAGTGCATCACCTCAATATTAGGTTATGAAAGACTGTGGCTTCTGTCTAGGGTGCTCTCTCACTTCCTCAGGCTCTCTCTCTCTTTTTTCTTTGGACCAGTCCCTGTTGGGGGCAGGGCAGGGCAGCTTTCACATCCTGACGACATTCTGGCAGCCTATAGAGAGGTCCATGTGGTAAAGAACAGAGACCTCTGGCCAAAGCTGGCGAGAAACTGAGGCCTCCTGCCAGCAGCCATGTGATGGAGCTTGGAGTCCGACTCTCCAGCCACCTTGAGATGACGACAGCCCCAGCCAACAGCTTGACGGCAACCTCATGAGGATTCCTGAGCCAGAATCACCCAGATAAGCCACTCCACAATCTTCACTTTCAGGAATGGTTTCAGTTAATAAACATTTGTTATTTTCAGCTGCCAAGTTTGGGGGTAACTTGTTACACAGCAATAGATAACTAATATACAGATGCAGGTTCAAAATTAGGGAACTTTTGCTGGAAGAAGAGCGATTCTGTGAACATGAGGAGAATGACTGAGAAACAGCCTCCATGGAGGCACCCCTCTTGCCTAGGAGTGATACCCAACGTGAGCTACAGACCTAGCTTGTGTGTTGGCATCTGATAAGACTTCTTAGCACGTCTCTTAAGAGTTAAAGTGAGTCATAAGAACACACCTTAAAATTTCATACCAAGGCTAAATATTACCTTTGTCTTAGACCTTGATAAGGGCATAGAGAAAACGCAAATGAGCACGTTTTCACCAACTTTTTCACTGAAGGAGAAGGAATGCAGAAAGCAGCATGAGAGAACTTTCTAGTGAGCTCCCTACACAGGAGTGCTGCTCTGGGGTGAAAACCACGCTTAGCGTGGTCACTGTGTTGCCCTGGTCCAAGGTTCCCCAAAAGTGATGTGGTCTGAGTCAGAATCCAGGCAAGCCAGACACTTGAATGGGTACGTTCAATACAGGTGTAGACAATTTCAAAGATTAGGCTGACTGTAGTTTAAAAAACATACATGCTGGAGACACATTAAACCAAAATTTATATCTCATTGCAATCCAAGATGTAGTCACAAAGGATGTTTGGAAATATCAAGCACTAGGGCTCGCTTCTGGGTAGGATTTTGGACAGATAATCACATAACAGTTGTGAAGGCATCACAGTGCCATTTAATGTATTGACAATCATTTATTATTATTGACAGTGGCTAGTAAGTGGCTTCACTTACCCCCAAAGACCCAGCGTCAAGAGGACAAACTCCATGAAGCAGGAAGGAGTATGTGTGACTGTGGGTGTGCATCTCAGCCTAGCATCCTTTAAAAGCACAAGGATGCTCTTAAACTAACAAAGCAGGGACCTAGCTGGATAAAAGATATCAAAAGCTGGCCACTAAATTCCCTGGGCTGGCCCGTGGTGTGCATTAGCAGATTATAGATGCTCATGAAATCCTTTGAGAAGGGTATACGATGGCATCTCACACAAGAGGTCAGGACTTCTGGTTGTGCCAACAGTCTACACAGAAGCTCCCTTTAGGCTGTGCTTCTTCCTTGAAGTGGCTTATTTCCTGACTCCATTTAAAAGGGCCAAGGAAATAAAGAAGAGAGGCCACTGTTTTTTCCATGGAAGTAACCATAGCACCAAGACAACTGTTGAGCGTCTAGTCCTTCTGGGGTGCAGAGAAATTACCCCTAGGCCAAATACACAGTGCTTCTATGCTGCACAGATAGAAGGAAAATGTGGAATTGAGGTGGATCTAGGGGAAATTTGAAGACTCCCCCAGCTGGGACTGACCTTATGCGCACCTGTCAGGCAGTCTATTTCCACCTCGGAACAGGCAGCTCCAAACACAAAGTACGCGAAAGGATGGCCTTCGCCTGTCTCCCAGTTCATGTGTGTCTCATAACCCCTGGAGGAAACAGAGTTCTTGAGGAGTGCTGTTAAGTGACCAAGTCCCCTAATTGCAGACAATGATGAGTAAACAGACCCATGAGAAGCTGCGCTCCATTTTTATGCACAGCAAAGTAGAGGAGTACATTTGCACAATGATGGGCCAGCACACAATGCATGCATTCAATCTGTTGGATAAATAAATATTTACTTCTTATTAAACTTGCTTTGTCTGATAAAAATATCCAATCGCTCCCCATCAATGACTCCTTGTGCCTGGAAGTTAGCTGCAGACTCTATGGTTACCTGTGCTCTTGCTTTTGGCTAATGTTGGATCATGTAATCCTACTGTCATCAGATGCGGGGAATTCAACTTGCATTTTACACCAAACACTGCTTCAGAGGTGCATACTTGCCCATTCATCTATCTTTTCAGCTCCAGGATTCAGCCTCTGTGCTAAGGATCAGGCCCTTGCCTTTCAATCTTTGCCACTACTCTGGTCCCCACGACCTGCTCTGTTCCCAGCTCCTCTCTAAGGACACCAAGTGAATGTCATGGTGAAAGAGAAGCAAGGGCCAGCAACCTGCCAGCACTTTCTATCCTTCTCTCCTCTGCTCCCCCCAGACTGGAGGTAGCCATGAAAAATGCTTCCAGTGCTCATTCCTGATAGCCAGCCAGGGCCCTGGACTCCCATGACAACTGGCAAACTGACAAAATCAGGGAGGACTCTCTGTGTCACCCTGTTCTCGGATGGCTTTCAATCTCCATTAAAATAATTTGAGAGGTTGTTTTCCAAAGTATCTGAGTTCTACTTGTTCCACATCTTGACAACACATAGTTATTGTCAAATTTCCTACTTTTGCCAATCTAGACGGTGTGAAATGGTATCTGTCTTATTATGGGTTTCATTTTCATTTCCTTACCTGTTTCTTAACTTAAAAGATACACCGAGTTTTCAACAGAACGTCAACCTCTGCTGTGGGTTCCACGCACCCACCCACGGAGAAGCCTCTGGCTCTACCCACTACCAGCTGACTCTTTAATTCACCTGCATTTTATTTGCATGCCTGTTTTTCCCAACCAAAGCCTTTCTGGGCATTTGGATTAAGTAAAAGCTAAATGTTCTTTCTAACAGTGGGTTAACAGAAGGTATAAATCAGTTTTTGCCAAAATTGCAAACAGAAGTGAAACTCTTCCTCAAGATACCGCACTACTGCCCACAGAATGTTGGGAAAGGACTATTTACCTGAAGTATCCAGTCGCTGAGAGACTAATGCTTTCATCAAAAGCAGCCTGCGCCTGGGAAAGAAGAATATAACGTGATGCAGAGAGGATGTTTACAGTAAGAACCACTCGAGACTTCGATTTTAATTTTACTGTGTGTTAAATAAAGCTACCAGTAGTAATAACTAGGAAGGACCAAGAGTAATTTACTCCTCTCAGCATTCTCCACCGCCACAGGCATTTGTGGTCCACTGCTCGTAGCGACAGCGTTGTCCAATGCATGTGGTTATAATCACATGGTATGTTACACTTATAGTCTGGACTATAGTGGGCAACGCGTGCTCTGCTTATGAAGAATTTCACTCAGTCATCTGGAAAGACTCAACCCGTTAACATGGAACATTTTGGGAAACAATGGGTGGTTGGATGTTTAATTTTAATATCATGCATATATAACAGTCTTAGGAGAGGGGTATAATTTTGCCAAATTGCTCCAGTTATACCAAAGGTTCTGCTGATTCTGCAGTGCACACAGTTGACTAATATACAGAAAAGTGGAGTTGAGGTCCAAGTCCCCAAGTCTGAGAAAGGAAAACGTATGAAGTGCAACCATTACAGGAGGAAGTGGGCTGAAGGGCGCATTTCACAATGGTGGAGAACTGACTCTCTTGCTCTGCATCTCTCTCCAGCTTTCTCCAACCAGGCTCTCTCAGCTTCCGGGGCCCAGGTAGCCAGGGCAGAGGGCAGAAATAAATATGCCCAGAAAGGATTGAGAGCTCCAATTATATGGATTATGGAATGAATCCTAACTCTATGGAATAGCAGGAACCATTTCCAAGTAAGACTCGCCAAATGTTATCTTCTCCAGACCAATGCTTTTAATGTGACATTCTAGAACAGTCAGCAAGACACATACTCCCAGCCTTTACTGATAGCCATTCCACACCATGTGGTACTTTAGAACCTATTACTCTGCAAAGTTTGCTTATTGACTTTAGAATGTGTATCTTCTCTTCCAACTAGATTGCTAGAAGATGAAAGGAAGCAGATGAGGGTTCCCATTCCATCCGGTGTCCACTGCTGGTGGAATGTACACCCAGTGGCTTGGTTTCCTATTTCTAAATGAGTGCTCACATGATTTTTACTTTTATAGAGGGATTCTGGTGTCGTCTTCCCATTTTAGGGACAGTGGAACCCAGTGTAGGAGAACGAACAGATTTACAGCTATTATCTAAAAAACACCTAGGTACCAGTGGAAGAAACCTTAATTAATTATTGCTTAAAACAAGAGTTCTGGAGAGAAGCACCATCTTATTCTCCAATAAAGAATTTTCCCGGATGTAAGAGTTCCGCCACCATCTTATAGGATTTCCACATGCCGAGAGCCAAAGAGCCCCCATTTATCACTATGAAATAGTGCCTTTTAAAGCCCTTTCTTCTGATATTTAATTGTCACCTCTCTCTCTCTCATTCTCCACCCTCCTTTTTTTTCTAACATAAAACACAAAGTAACAACGATTCTCACCCAATCCTTCCACGTGCCTTTAGGATTCTTGCTGATGATGGGTTCAAGGCGTTTTAGAAGAGTTTGACAAGCATCCTAGGGATTATTTTTTGGTTAAAATTATGATCATAATTTCATGGAAACACCAATTTCAAAACCACCTGATATGTGCTATTACATCAGCTCATTTGAGAGGCCGGTGAGAACGCGGAGAAGGAAGAGACCAGCCCTGTGAGTGATGTGAAGGCTGCACGGGTAGGGGGCAGGGCGAGCTGGTCTTAAAGACAGGCCCTAGGATGGGGGCCTGTAGCCACGCTAAGAAGTCAGGACTTCACAGAGCAACTGTTGGCAAACCGCTGCCACTGTTTCTAAACACGGCATGGTCGGAGTTACTCTGTGCGAAAGCTCGCCCTGGCAGGAGCAGCTGGGGGAAAGGTGAGGGCTCTAGGGTGCAGGGACACGGCCTTGCATGGCACTGGCGGCAGGTGCACATCTGGATCAAAGCAGCTGTGTCACCACCACACAGAAGTGGAAAGACACAGTGAGTAGAGTCGAAATGACTGCTGGCCAGTGAGATGTCAGGAGTGAGGGAGACAAACGGGGACACTTCCAGCTCAGGAGCGCCCCTGGGGGCTGCAGCACTGACTGAGCCCCAGTCGGGGCGGCCGGGGTGTGGTGGGGGGTTCACTGAGAGGGGGCGGGAGGGAGAGAAGAGCTGGATTAACTCTCAGTATCTTGTGAGCTCCACCCACAGATTTTGCCCTGCTGGGGCTGATGACTGGCAGTCCACTGCAAGGACTTTTACCTTTACTGCCAGTCCGTTGAGATCCGCCACCAAGGACGCTCCAGAGACATTTGCATTAGGAACAGTTTCCGTGCTGGTTCCACGCAGGTGGACATTAGACATTGGCATCCTTAATTCACGACTGGCCACCTGGATTTCAGAAGAGAGTTTCTTTTCAAATACTTTGGTTAATCATAGACCCAAGCACACACCCACGTGGTAGCCTGTGTGTGAAGCCCTCCTATGTACAAAGGGGACAAGCGGGCAGAACCACCAATTCCTCCAGCCACAAAACCTCCTCCTTCTAAAAACCCTGTTGCTAGTCTGGACCCCAAGCCCTGAGGACACTTTCTTTTTCTTTGACTTTCTTATGTGCAATAGCATCAGAAAAAGGAGGCGAGGCCCCAAGCCAAGGCAGGAAGACATGCCGCATGTCTTTATCATCATGAAATCAACACCTCTGAGGACTCTCCTCCCACCGCACTCTGCTAATTCTAGCAAAGCTGACCTTATCAGGTAGGACATGCCTTATCCACATTTCTGTAGATGCTCTAGGAGAAAAGTGCCTCCTGTAACAAGGACAACAGCCTTGCAAAAGCAGCAGCAGCACATGTGGCCACAGAAAGAAATGGTGTTGGTGCCGCTCGCTAACACAAGGACTTAGCTGGCTGCTTTGTGCTTCCTTTCTTTTTAGTGCTGGGGGCAAAATCATTGCTAACTTCAGCTGATCCAAAATTCTCCTCTTTCCTGCAAACTATAGAGCTTAATAGAGTTTGCCCACAGTTGTGACAAGGACACAGGCATACAGAGCGCTCCACAGTGGCTTTCAGAAGACTGTCTACACAGAGTGCATGGGCTTGGAACACAAAGGTCTCTGGTGGCCCCATACGGAAAACACTGAATTCTCACCCCCAAAATCGGGAAAGATATGATGAGAGAATTCTCAAGTGGCTGATAACATGAAAGAAAATATATGTTCAACATCTCTATAATCAGAAAAATGCAAATTAAGGCAATAATGACATACTATCATTCATCTGTCAAATTTTCTAATATTTTTTAACAATCCATAACATACAATGTTGGTTAGTGGCATAATGAGACGGATACCTTCTGGAAAACAATGTGGTAATATGTGTGAAATGATGTAAGATACACTCTGTGATCCAGTGATTCCATTTCTGGGAATCTACTTTAAGAAAATAACCATTGATTCAGTCACAGGTTTATGTACAAAATGTTCGTTGAAGTGTTCAACAATTGGGAATGATTAAGTAAATTCTATGTACAGTCACAAGCAGCCAATAAACATCATGATTGCAAAGAATTCTTAATAACAGGAGGAAGGGCTCAGTCTGTGAAGGACAGGTGAAAAATCCAGGATACGAAATTCTATAAACAACATGTAGTGATTTTTTGAAAAAGAAAAAGAAAACATGGAAAGACCCCCAAACAGCGATTATCATGAAGTGGTAGAATTGTGCAGGGTCCTTTCTGTTAGTTTTTGCCTCCTCCAAATGTTTTATATTCTGTAATATTACTATTATGATCAGCAAAATAGAAACAGTAGCTAGTTATCTAAAGTAAATGAGTCAAAAGAAAACTGGTGAAGTTTGGTGAGAAATATCAAATGTGATTTACATCATCAATTGTCCAGAGTCCATATTATAAAAAGGGCGAGGAAGAATGCAATACAACAGAACTTACACAGCTTTTTATCACCCAGCAAAGGTCAAAAAAGACAACGCTCTTGTTAATATAAGCAAAGGAAAGCAGCAAATATCCTCCCAACCTCTGCTAGCAATAAGACAACCTGACACTCTTCTGCCACATTTTTTAGGGGAGTGGCTTGTTTACCCAGTTTCTGCTAAAAGACTAACAGTCTAAGCTGTCAAGGCTACACTCTCCTACCCTTTTTCTTTGGGGACAGAAAATGTACATCCATAGTTTCTTTCTCATACATATATCTACAAGCACACATCCAACTTAACCCAATTATTTGCTTTCTCACCTGAATCATTTTAGTGTGGACTCCTTGCCCCATTTCAATTCCCCCATGAGTCACCAGCACAGACCCATCTAGATAAATGTGAACCAGGGCAGCAGCCTAAGCAAAAAAAGATGAAAACAGTTTTCATGATCTTTCTGACTGATATTATCACGTCTTGTCAGCTAAAACATTTTCCGTGGAAATGATCCCCTCCTTTCCAGCCCCTGCAGAATACACACAGATGCACGTCCCATCACCCTGAGGGGGCTGAGCAGAGCAGGGCAAGAGCTGCCTCGTGGTCACCCCACAAGAGGCCAGCTTGTGGCTCAATGGCTTTGAGTCCGGGGCAGGACTATGCTCCTTCAGCTGCTATTTCCTCATTAGGATGCTGGAGCACACTGCGACCTTCAAGGATCCCCTGACCAGGGTGCATAACAATTGAGGTTTGGGTTTTTTGAAGGAGGATGGATGCAAAGGTAAGTGTAGACAGGCTGCTGGAGAGGGAGAAGAATTGCTCATGTGAACACATTCTCATAGCTGCAGGTGTGTTATAGAGAGGCAAAGATAAACATGCGAATAAGGTGGGGCAGATAGACCTTAATTTTTTGCTGCAAAATGAGCTAAGTTCACCCTAAATCATCTTGGCACAGAACTATAGTGCTTTAGAGTTGGAAGGGAACTTGGAAGTAATCTTCTGTAACTGTACAGCTCCCCACAGGGATCCAGAAGGAGTGGAACTAACAGAGAAGCAAAGGCTGCTGTAATTGGAACAGCTGAACTCCGAGGCAAACGTGCTTTACGACCAGTAAGAACGAGCCTTCTGTCAAGAGTGCCCCTGCCTCAACTGGGGGTAAGGCGACGTCCAGGAGACTGCAGAACACAGGGACGGCTTCTTCACTTGGAGTCTCTAGGGCAAGAGAACATTAACCGCCTACGGTCCTGGAGAAAACGCTTCTGATGGCTCCGCTGGGGCTCAGGATGGCCTGCAAGGCACACCCTTGCAACTGTTCAGCTGGGAAGTGCCCACCTAGTAGATGCGATCTGGGCCAGCCAGGGGTCACTTAGAGCTCTGCCAGCCAGGCTTCTCCACATCTAAGCTTCTATGCAGAGTGGCATAATAATCCAGGATTTGTAAAGGGAGGCTTTTCAGAGAATTCTGGTAACAAGCTAATTTCCATTTAACAAAGCTAAAATCTTAGTAAGCCTTAATTACTCGCTTAGATTCCTTTTAAACAACCCTGCTCATAAGTGAAAGTCGATGGACTTGCATGTCAATCACCAAATACACCCAGGAAAGGACTGCATTCCTAGATCCGTTCTCTGTCCACCAGAAGGATCTCACAGCCACCCGTGGGCCATGGGCCACACTTGGCCCATCGCCCCTTTATTAGTATCCAAAGCTTCACGTTACTCCAGGGAATGAGGAGCAGAAGCCTCTGTCATTCCATATAAGACACTTTTGACAGTGCAAATGGGCTCTATTTATCTGGTTGGCAGGTGTGAACTAGGGGTGTATTGGGACAATAGAGACAGAGGAGTACCCTTTCTCTGAGGACAAAGACACATTCACGGCCTACAGGAGAATCTTAGAACCTTCAGGAGGGCATCACAGGCATGACAATCACGCCCAAGAGCCTGGGAAGATGCAGCAGGGCGTGTTGAACTATCTGCTGGCACACCACTCCTGGGGATGCTGTCTTGTCCTCCTGGTCATTTATTCTCAAAACAATAGAGATAAGAAGTGGCATCCTCTACAGAGAGCCCAGAGCTGGCTGCCCTGGGGTTGTGCATGAGATACCAGGTGATGCCACCTGTAACGGCTGCTCCTGGGGTCCATTCTGTGGCACTTCATTGTTCTCTGCTAGAATGTGAGCCCCTGAAAGGAAGGACCGTGTCCTAAGGCCTCTCTTGAAATGCAACATAGGAACACACATGCAGTCAGTGCTCAATAAGTTTGAGAAATGAATTTGCAATGGCATAGCCATTCCATCTGTTTCTTAAACTTGTAAACTCTGCATTTGGCCTCCTGGGTTCCGCAAGCAATTCAGAAGTTGCTTGTGGGTGACATTCTTTGTGGCTGAGCTACAGTTACAGTGGACTGTGCATTTCCCACACTGCGTGACCCTGCTGGCAACAGCACTGTGCCCGCGTGTCCGCAGCAGCATTTCTGAGAGAGACTGCTGAGTAATTTGCTCCAGGAGCTGCTGCAATCTTCTCGGGCCATTTAAAATGTCAAATTTGGTTCAGTTAAGCGGCACCACTGGATGGTTCATCGTTAGCACCACAGAAGATAATTCCACAAAGCTTCATCTATGGAATTGGCACAACTGGAGCAGTGGAACAGATGCTTCTCCAATATAAACTGGGCACTTAGACGGTGAAATGTCAATCTTCAAGCAAAGACTGCGGTATTGCTGAGAAGTTTGCTTTGGTCCTCCAGATTCTCCAAATGTCTCAGCCACTGAAGCATGTGAGTCCCTACTCTGCGCAGGTGTGGAGCTAAGGCCGGGGCAGGACAGGGCTAATTCGATGCTGGGGCCTTCAGGGCTCACAGTCTAGGAATTACACAGAACGGAGGTGAGGGACATTTGACCCCTCAGCTGTTGGGGGCACAGTCCTGCAGTCACATCCTGGTGCTGTCACTCACGGGCTGGATGTCCTCGAGCAAGAGAGGGAACCTCTGTGGGCTTCAGTATCCCCCTCTACAAAGCAGAATCACGCCTGCCCGACAGAGCTGAGCCAGTGGCTAAAGGAACCGGGAAACTACAAACCAGCCAGCCCACGGCCTCACACACAGAAGGTGCTCAAGCAGCATTTCAGTTCCCTCCTCTGTTCGGTTTGCTTCAGATAGAGTCTTTCAGCGTATGGCTCCAGGAAGCAGCCTGACTGACCCCAACTCCTGGATCTGGCCCCAAGCAAATGTCTCAAGCAAGGAAGCTGGTTGCTGGGGCAGGATGGGGGGAAGTAGTGGGGTCTCCGGAGGAGCCTCTCTGTAGCCTTTGAGAGTATGTACCACCGGCTACTGCCGAGTTTCCCCCAAGCTGAGCTGGATCCCCCCTCAGACCCCACCTAAAGGGGCGTGGGGAGGCAGCCTGATGGAGCTGAGAAAGCATGGCTTCTGAGCCCCTCAGACCTGAGTTCCAGCACGGCCCTGCTTCTCACCAGATGCGGGACTTTGGGCAGGTCATCTAAGCTCCGAGCCTCAGCGTTCTCACCACTAACATAAGGATCCAAATCTTACGGTTGCCCTGAGGGTTGAATGAGATAAAGTCTAAAGAAGTTATAACATAGCAGGTGCTCGGTAATTATTATTTTTTATCTAGTTTTTGAGAAATTTCTGATGAGGGAAATGGGACTGACTTAGTCTACTGTAGCGGTCAGATGCTAAGTAATGGCAGCGACTGCACAAAGACAGCCTGCCACGTCTACCCAAGCTGACCGCCCAAGGATACCCAGAAGACCCATAATCAATGGGGACTGTTTTCCCCGATGATCCCGGCCAGCCTGCTCAAGGGCAGATGACCCAGACCAACCTCTTTGCTATCTGCCAGCCAGTCCGTTTACCCAAATTGCAAAGCAAGAGTCACTACTCACAAACCCTTTTCTAGTGGAAGTTTTCTCCTTTCCTTTCCTGTTTAACAACCTTGTTCTTGCTTTTCTTCCTCAGCCACAGCCTCTTGACTGCCTCCCTCATCCGGGAAAACTGTGCAGACGACTCCACGGCTGTGTGTTGCTCTGCCCTCACCACCAGGCAGGGACTGGGAAGGACGCCGTAAGACCACAGCGGGTATTGTTTTAATGCTCCTTGAGCTCTCAGCTGTCTGCAATCAGGCCTCATGAAAATGTTCTAACGATTACACCAAAGCTGAACAAGTACGGCCATGGGAAAGGGGAGGGGACCCTCCGGCCCGCTTTTCCTGGCCTGCTCGGCTCCCTCAACACCCAGCTTACACGCTGGTGCTCCCCGTGGCTCCACCTCCCTTTATCCCTATTCTGTCATCACTCAACACACCTGCCACACTTTCTTCATGGCTCAGCCAAAGGTGTGACTTCTGCAAAGGAGAGTGACAATAGTTTTGAGGGCTCTGTCATCCCATCTTGAGGGCTAGTTTGATCGAGCACAACTCTGGTGAAGGCTGACAATCAGGCATTGCAACCATATGGCTTTCCACCATGTATGGATATATACACATACATACACGTAAGAATGTCGATCACAGGGGCCCCACATCACTGCTGTACAATGAGCAAGAACAGAGCAGAGCACCAGCTCTTTGGGGTAAGTTTCATTCAAGAATGAAGTGATGGAAACAGCAAGTGGTTTTAGCAACCAAGCAGGGAATTTATTCAATAAATTAAAGAAATTAAACGAGAACAGATTTCCAGTCCTCCTTTCACACTTTGAACAACTGTCAGGTGTACAAACTCCAAAAAATTGTGCTTAAAAGAAGTATGTAAATGATTTACTTTTCTGGGTTTAGTTTACATCAACCCACCAAAAAGGGAAGGGGCACCAAATGTCTGGCAGCTTCCCGATGCTACTCCCCGGCCGAGACCTGGAATCACAGAACAGCTGGAAGAGGAGTCTTGTTGGTCCTCAGTCCCACCATCTCACTTAAACTTGAGCAATCTGGGGCCCAGAGTGAGCTGACTCAGCTGCTTAATGCCAGTGCCAGGAGTAGACAGCAGGTCTCCCAATTTCCCCCCAAGAATGCTTGTCACCAACCATGGGGACAAGGGCAAAGGTGCTCTCATCTCCTCCGGAGAAAAGCTAGATTGACGGAACACAACTTTGGTGAAGGCTGACAATCAGGCATTGCAACCATACGGCTTTCCACCATAATGGAAAGTTCCCTCAACACCTTTTGATGTGTCTGTTTGGAGAACTGACCTGGCAAGCAGCGGTTGAGCCAAATCCAACAGGAAACTTCAGGGGAACCATGGCCAGCCCTTTCTTCTTCCAGTAATTCTCTGAGTTGAATTTTTCCACAGCCACTTTCCTCAGGGAGTAGGAAGACGTGGCCATACATTCTTTCCAACACTGGATCAGGTTCGTGGCATCAATCTCTTGTTTGTAGGGTGTTTGGTCAATTTCCTTGTACATGTTCATCATTCGGACCTATAAAAGGAGAACTTGAAAGGTCAGGGGTCCTGGCAGACATGGTCTCTTCCATCCACTGTCCTCCTGGTCAAATGCTACTCATCTTGTTAGGCCCAGGCTGAGTTCTATTACTCTTTGTCGAAGGCGTTGCCAGTGCATAATGCTCTCATCTTCCCCCTGTTCAGAGCCTCTATCAAATATGTCAGCACCTACATGCTTTCTGTGCTGCTCCTGTCTAAGTTCACAGGCAGGACTCCTTTCCTTGTATTTCTTATAACACTCAACCCAGTCCAGGTACACTGCAGACTCTTAATTCTAGCTGCATTTGTGAGTATCTGTTGGAAGGCCATCCTGGATTTAACCTCCAGACGCCGGATCTACAGGATTTGGAGTATTCAGATGCTAGGGCGAGATACGACCACTCACTTCCAAAACAGGAAAATATGAAAGTTCATTTAAATATAACCGATAACTGGGATGAAGAATAAATTAAAAGATTCTATCACAGGACACCTGAAGCCATGAGTAGAATTCTTCCTGAATTCCCAGAACTGGGGACTAAGCCTCTGGCTGAGAACTCAAGGTGCCAAGTACCTCATATTCTCAGTTGAGAAAACTCTCAGCAGTGTGGCCAGTTACCTCGCAAGCTGACAGGGCCATTAGACACATACTCTCCCCATCCCTGTAGAAAACATTCCCCAACCATTATAAAAGGAAGACTGGAAATTAGTGAGCTGTGCCACTGGGGGAGGCAGTGGTTTTAAGGGAGGCTATTGTCTCCTCCAACTGCCCTGGGATGAAGGGAGGCCACGACCTGGTTCTCCTCTGTAATGCTACCAAATGTGACAGAACATCTGGGACAGAGGCTGTGGTGAGATGGCCAGGAAGGGAGGGGCCCCCACAAGCTCGAGAGACATGAAGAAGATGCCTCCTGCCTATGGCCACAAATTCTAATGCTGGAGAGAAAGAACATCAATGAATTGGGGACCAGGGCTTTCCAAGAATTGCCACAGCATGGGGCAAAGAGCCGTGGCCATCAGAGAAGGCTCCTGAGGGGTCAGCTGAGGGTCCCTGGGAGACTTAACCCACCCTTGCAGGGGACTGTCGAATTTGGAGAGAGCTAGCAGCGAGGGAGCCCCCAGACAACATGCCCGACAAGTGGCTCCATCTAACCAAGCAGAGAACAGAGAGCTCGCTGGGGAGGTGCTGCTTCCTCTGGTCCTTCTCTGCCCCCCGCTCCACCCTAACACCGCAGGGGAGGGAGCAGTGGTGAGCACACCCCGCGTCTCCCACCGGAAGTCCACTCAGGATTCCGGGTGGAAGAGGCACAGGGAAGGGAGCAGAGCTTGTGAGTGAATGAAATCGGGACGAAGACTCAAAGAACGGAAAGTAACTGAAATGACAGAGCCTTTACGACAGCCGCCTGAGATGGTACGGAAGCAGAGAGGGAGGGTTTGACGGACTTGTTGGCAGCAGTTATGGCCCCAACCGCGCAGACTTCTCGCTGAACAAGTTAGAATCCAAGCTCACTCCTCAACATCCTCTGCCCCTAGGATATTGGGGATGGAGCCCCAGTAAGACGAGGACCACCGCACTGCGGAGTCCCGGCTCTGCGTCAACTCGTTAGCTGAGCTACACTGGGCAAATCAGGCAAATCCTTCAGCCCTTCTGGCTCTCAAATTCCTCAACCTGCAGGCCCCCCGCGGCCCTCCCACCCCTGGAATTCTGGAATTCGATGCCCTTCCTATGTGAGACTCATTCGTCATTACCTTCTCAGGGGACAAACCACATTTGGCTGCAACTTCCGTGATGCAGTTTTCGGTGATGAGCCCAGACTGAGGGAAGCCGAACCCACGCAGGGCCGTGTTGGATGGAAGGTTGGTTTTGCACGCCCAGCCCTGGCAGCGCAGGTTTGGAAACTTGTAAGCGTTATCCACTTTCAGAACTCCCGTTTCTAGCACCTGGGGAAATCCAGAGTCGATGTGATAAGACCCTCATCCTTCCGCACATGTCTTACCATCCTGAGACCTCAGACCCAAACCAGGCCAGAAATCACTGACTGACCCTCTCTACATCACGTCAAACATGCTAAAACAGACTCACATCCCCAGTTAGGTGCATTTTTGCTATAAAATAATTTTTAAGGCTTTGAATAATTTATCTTTTGAAATCATTGTTTTCTATCTTCATATTTTAGGCCTAATGCATTTTTCCCAGGTTTCAAATATTTCCAAAAGCCTTTGAAGCATTTATAGGCACTAAACACTGGGTTCACAGAATGTAATGAATAAAATATCCTGGAAAACAGGAAAAAAAAATGTCTTGGTATTTGGTGTAATGCATTGGTTAACCAGGGGCAATTTTTCCCCCTGTCTCCCCTGGGACATTTGGCAATGTCTGGAGACATTTTTGGTTGTTAAGACTAGATGTGAATAACCTATAATCAATCTATAAATCAGAACTTGGGGTGAGTTTCTTGTGAGCCAGGTCTGAGGACTATAGCCCAGGGAGTTTCCCTGCCCAAGAAAGGCAGCACAGCAGAGGAGTGGGGTGCACAGAGCATTATACACCATCTCGGAACAAAGAGCATACATCACACATGACAGGAACATCTCTTTTACTACTGTCACGAGATGCTTAGCTAGCAAGTCAGTGGTCATAAGGTGAGCACAGCAAGTAGGTGATTAATCCTTCGCTTCCAGGAAGAGATGCTTATCCCTAAGGAGAAGCTACATCCCTATCTGTAAGGGCATCATCCTTAGCTTTGGGACATTGTAAATGTTTAAAACAGATGGACCAGGCAGCCTCAACAGGCCTTTTTGGAAAAATGAGGTCAGGGCAAATTAGTTTTAAACCAAATGGCTTCCTCATAGAATCCAATATATCCTATTACTTGTCATTTATTCATCAGACTGGAGGGTAGCTGTGACACTGACATCTACTGGGTAGAGGCCAAGGATGTCGGTAAATATCCAAAATGCAGAGGACAGCCCCCACAACAAAGAATTGTCCAGTCCAGAGTATCAGCAACACCATGACTGAGGTCTAATGCTTGCATTTGGGAAAAGAGCTCTAAGCTTGGGAAACTCGGAGCTAACACACGGACACAGACTGGGCCGGTACCTCTGGGCCCACTGGGGGCCCCAGGAACATGTGGCTATCCTTGCAAGAAGGGTCTTCATGCTTTTATAATTGAATACTATTTGACTATTGAACATTTTATGGAATAACTCATTCTATGTAGCATTTTCCAGAATGTGAACTTGTTCCCTAAAACACTTACAAATAACGACTCATCCAGGGTGGCGCCTCCATTGCAGTAATGCTCCACATCCAGGGCCAAGATTCTGCCATCATTCATGAATCCAGCCTGGAGAAAGAGAACTGAACTGCGATACTGCTGCCGGGGACCACGTCTCTCTAACATTTACTTTGTCACTTGAGAACCATCCTCACATAAGCAAAAAGCTTCATGATGTTGGATTTGGCAATGATTTCTTGGATATGACACCAAAAGTACAGGCAATGAAAGAAAAAAACCAATAAACTGGACTACCTCAAAATGGAAAACTCCCATGCATCAAAGGATACAAGCAACAGAGTGAAAAGGCACCCCAGAGAATGGGGAAAAGTATTTCCAAACCATTTATTGGATAAAGGTTAATATCCAGCATGTATAAAGAGCTCTTACAACTCAACAACAACAAACAAACAACCTGATTAAAAAGTGGACAAAGGATTTGAATACACATTTCTCCAAAGAAGATACAAAAATGTCCAACAAGTACACGAAGAGATGCTCAACATCACTCATCATTAGGAAAATGCAAACCAAAACCACAAGATAACACCTCACACCCTTTAGCATGGTTACGATAAAAACAACCAACCGACCAGTAAGAGAAAACAATAAGTGTGCATGAGGAGGTGGACAAATTAGAACCCTTGTGCACTGTTGGTGGGAAGGTAAAATGGTGCAGCTGCTATGGAAAATAGCATGGCATTTCCTCAAAAAATTGAAAATAGAACTACTGTATGACCCAGTAATCCCACTTCTGGGTATGCAGCCAAAAGCATTGAAAGCAGGGTCTTGAAGAGATATCTGTACACCTATGTTCATAGTAGCATTATTCACAATAGTCAAGGGCTAGGAGCAACCTAAGTGTCCATCGATGGGTGAATGGATAAACAAAATACGTTACATACATACAAGGGAATTTTATTCAGTCTTAAAAAGGAACGAGACTCTGACACATGCTGCAACCCGGAGGAACTTTGAGGACATTATGTAAAGTGAAATAAGCCAAACAAAAAGACAAATACTGTTCGGTTCCATTTCTTTGAGGTACTTAGAGTAGTCAAATTCATAGGGATAGAAAGTAGAATGGTGGTTGCCAGGGGCTGGGCAGAGGGAGGAATGGGGAGTTATTGCTGAATGGGTGCAGAGTTTCAGCTTTACAAGAAGAAAAGAATTCCAGAGACAGACAGTAGTGATGGTTGCACATAAATGTGAATGTACTTCATGCCACCGAACTGTATACTTAAAAACGGTTAAGATAGAAATTTTATGTGTGTGTATTTTGCCACAACTGAAAATAACAATAAGAAAGGAAGGGTAGAGAAAGATATGAAACCAAAACAAACAAAAACCCCTCTCGTCCAGTTCATCACTACTGGTCCATCAATCCTTTTCTCTCCTAACGCAAACCAACTGCCTATTTCCTGACCTCTCGGTCTTGCCACAGGTCCTGGAATTCTGGCTCCCATGCTCACATGTCTACCAAGACCTTCTCCCCCAAAGCCGGCTAACCCCCTAATCTCCAAACCTGGTGGGCTGCTCATAGTGTACTCTGCACGTGCTTCTCATAGGGCCCAATTCAATCAAAACTCCCAGCAGCATTTGGTGCTGCTGGAGGTCTTTTAAATAAATATCTTCCTTCCTTTGAAGATGTGTCTAATATCTCTGTTTTCTGTCTGCGCTCTGCTTCAATATATCTGAGCTTATCAAAGTTCACTTTAATGACGTTTGTTAAGTGGAACCAAATTCAAACCAAAGCTATAGTCAAGGGCATGGCCTTGAATTCCAGCAGGTTGAGTTTTGGGCGCTGGCTCTGCTGCTTCTGTGATCTCAGGCCAGCTATCTAAGCTCTCTGACTATCTGTGAAGTGGCAGTAAGTAAGGCAATGCCCGGAAACTTATAGGTTAGTGACTGAAACATAAGTGTCTGAAATATAGCTCGTGTTCTAAATAAAATTATTAATATTACCATTACAAGTATTATTAATATCATCTCCTGTCCTCATCCTCTTCTCCATTAGAAAACATTATTTTCTCAAAGTCTTAATCACTGCTATGCTGATGGCTTCTATAACTATAATCCAGTCCTTTCAATAAAATCCCATATTGGTGAAGGACATTTCTCCCTAATGTCCCATTGTCACTTCTTCCCCAACATTTACACAAACAAGCTCATCATTGTCCCTCCAGATTGTTTCCTCCTTCCAACCTGGCTCTTTCCACTAGAAACCTCCAAGTCATGTTGATGGTTCTAGTCTCCGTTGTATTTTACGAAGTTTGTCACCACCTCCTATTTTATTTCACACTGTCTCGGCTCTTGGACTCGTCTCCACTTCTACATCTTGCTATCATAGCTCAGACCCCAACTGCATCAACTGCCCCCTGGTGGTCTACCTGCCTCGACCCTCTCTCTTCCCTAGGCCACCCTGCCTAGCGCCATCATATCACCCTCCCCAGTGCGCTCATGTTTGGTTACAACGCTTGACTGGTCAAGGATCTGCACAGTCTCTTTTTCTTGTGAGATCAAGTTAAACCCCCATCCTGGGACTCCAGGCTCCTCTCAGTCTGGCATCACTTAACCTCACCAGTCTGTTCCCACTCCTCTTAGGGAAGCACTCTGTGTTCTAATTCCCCATCTACTCCTGCCCCCATCAAACACACCACGTTCCTCCCGCCTCTGCATTTTTGCTCTTACTTCTCCCACCACCTGCTATGCCTTCTTTCTGCCTATCCATTCTTTGTTGTTTTTTTTTAATTTTTTCACTGTGGTCTAAATAGTTTATAACATTGTGAAATTTCAGTTGTGCATTAATATTTGTCAAACACTATATAAATGTGCCCCTGTACCCCTGTGCCCACCCTCTCTTCCTTCCCCCTGGTAACCACTAAATTGTTCTCTTTGTCCAAAAGTTTGTTTACATTCCACATATGAGTGAAATCATATGGTGTTTGTCTTTCTCTGTCTGGCTTATTTTGGTGAACATGGTGCCCTCAGGCTCCATCCATGTGGTCGTGAATGGGATGATTATGTCTTTTTTATGGCTGAGTAGTATTCCACTGTATATATATACCACATCTCTTTATCCAATCATTAGTCATTGTCTGCCTATCCACTCTTGAAGGCCATTTATGATCACTTTCTCTAGGCTGTCTCCCGTACATACTCAACCTCATATTCATCTTCGTGTAGTTTTACTATGTGTGCCTCATCTTAAACCCAGCATTATTATGTTTTCATAATGACCTCACATGTGTAAGTCTTGTCTCTCCCTCAACTCCCAAAATGTAATCTCTGTCAGGACAAAGTTCTCTCTAATAAATCTTTGTTGAACTAAAGCAGATTCAAAATATAGCTGAGAGAGAATGTGAGTTGAAACAGACACATTTTTATCTTCTAAAGATATGCATGCAGGTACACCAGCCATGGAAGAGACAATGCTGTGTTCAACAGATCCTGCTGTCTTTCATCCTGGGCACACAGGAAGACTACATTTCCCAGCCTCCCTTGCAGTTAGGCAGCAAAGTCCCAGCCAATGACATGTAGATAGAGGCAAGGTCCACACTTACAGTCTTGGTGCCTGAAACAGCTCTCACATAACACTCCTGCTCTCTCTCCCTAGTCTTCTGCCCTCTGCAGAAGGTCTGGGAGAGGACTCGGAGTCCCTAGGGCAGTGCTATCCAAGAGAACTTTCTGAGATGACGGCAATGTTCTATACCTGCATGTCCAGTACGGCAGCCACTAGCCACATGTAGTTACTGAGCACTTGAAATATAGTCAATGCAACTGTGGAATGAATTTTTAATTTTCTTTAATGTAGGTAACTTAAAGTTTAAATAGCCATCTATGCCTAGTGGCTTCCATTTTGGACAGTACAGTCCGAGGGGAGGATGGTGGCACTATCAGATGGAAATGCATTGAGTTCCTGAATGATTTTCTGGAGCAGGGTCCTATCCTCTCCCTGCTCCCAACCCCCACTTATTCCACTGGGCTGGTACTTGAACAAGAAACACCACAATAAAGGTTGAAGTCCCTGAGAGTTTTTAGTTGTTTGTTATGGCAGTTAGTCCATTCTCACTACTACCTATTTCTTATAAAGCAAAAAAGTAATTATTTTCTCCTATGGAAATTTTTCTAGGAATTCCCAGGACAGAGTTCTACAAAGATACCCTTGATATATCGAAAACTGAGGAAGCTGTTGGCAAATAATTGCAATTTCACATAACACTATTGTTATGGGAATTGTTCTGTTTTTAAAGTGTGTGGGAACAGCATGGTTCTCAGATCTACTTTCAAAGATACATATCCTCACGCTTGCCAGTTACTCTGCTCCAGCCAATATCGTCTAGTACTTTTTCACAAACAGAAATCTTTGAACAAAGCAGAAAAGCTTCATTGAACCAGCCAGTTATCAAACAGCCAGCACAAGGAATAAAAAGTTAGAGAGAAGCACAATTTGCTGATTTGCTCATTGCTGTTCCCCTTTAGAGAGAAGCCAAATGCTGCCGTCTGCACTGATGGAGTGTCATATTTACAACATGAATCCTCTCCGCCCCCTTCTTGCTCTACTCACTTTGTACTTGCCAAGGTATGGGTGGCGGCCCCCAGTTATTAACATGTCTTCTCCTCGTTCCAGAATGCAGCGGACTGGACGACCATGTCTGAAACAGAAAAAAAAGCAGGAGAGGTAAACTCCTTCACCAAGTAGCTTTTTTTTAGGAAGATTAGCCCTGAGCTAACATCTGCACCAATCTTTGTCTTTTTGCTGAGGAAGATCGGCCCTAAACTAACATCTGTGCCCATCTTCCTCTACTTTATATGCAGGACCATGTGACAGCATGGCTTGATAACCCCGGGCCGCTGAAGCAGAGAGCATGAACTTAACTGCTATGCCACTGGGCCGGCCCCTCACCAAGTAGGTTTTATCTGGGGTTTATATAACACCTAGCAAGAGCTTGAATGGTGTCCACACACCTAACAGAACTACTCCCTGAGCCCAGGCTGTGCTGGTCTCAGGCCCACACAGTGGCCTCCCCTCCCTTTGGGTCGAGGCACAACGCCTGGCATTCACTACTTATGGGAAGGAGGCTCTTGGGTGCCAGAGGCTCCAGGGTATTGTTTGGGGGTATTTCCCACTGTGACAACAGCCTCTGCTATAGGTGAACAGTCCCAAGGCCACACTACAGACTGGTTACAAAGGGAGAAACTCGACTGGTGTCTGACTGCCAAGTGCTCCCTGACGGGACACGTCTGGAATCAGCGTCTTCGTGTCTCATGGAGAGAGGAACTGAGCTACATTACTCAGCAAAGAAATTAAGCCTTCTAGCTGCGCCTGCTCCAAAGACAACTTCCTGTGGGAATATTTCGAGATGCTCACAGGAAAACGGTACTAGCAATAAGGTAAGCATAACAAAAGCAAAACCGCTACTTAAACATGAACATATGAATCTTTTGAGACCTCTCTCTCACAGGGGCGAAGGACAAGTGACCCCGACCCTTTCAGGACCTGTTTCTGTCTACTCTCCAGGTATTACAGCATTTTTGCTGTGGTTTTTATTCTTTTTCAGTTACTGATTTTGCTTCTCATTTTGGTTCTCACAGTGTGTAGTTTGACAGTATAAGATAAAGACGTTGTAATAAGTGGCACTTGTTGGTGTATTTGTATATTATATGTGATTTTAAACAATCTTGACCCAGTCTCTTCCTCCTTAACCCTGATATTGTGAATATTCAGCATGACCTTGTTTTATTTTTTTCTATTTAGCAGATTTTCTCCACTTACTTGTTTGCAGCAAATGCAGTGATGGCTGCCAAGATGCCAGTTTTGGTCACTTTTCCCCCAAATGCCCCACCAAGACGCTTTACATGACACATGATCTTGTTAGCTGGGACCTTCAAGGTTGAAGCCACTATAGCCTGTGAGTGATAATAGTTCTTGTTACTCTGGCTCATCTGCAGCAAGGAGGGGGACAGCCCTGACCCGTTGGTTCTGTAATGTCCATGATACACAAACTGTGTGCTTATACTAAGAACGGGATGATTTCCAATGACCTGGGCATATATCCATGCGTGGTCTCAGTGGTACTTGGCTATAATGATATTGCCAAAACTATCATTAATATTAAGTAGTCCTTTCAATATCAATGAGATATTTTTGTGTTAATAAATTTCTTAAAATTTTCCCATGAATCACACCCAGAGTGTCGTTTCCACACTGATCCCTGGCGGACGCTGCCTGGCGCAGTGAGAGGTTGGGGTCTTCCCCTGCGTCTTCCTGTCTCCCCTGGAGTTTCTTCTCTCCTCCCATTTGGGTTCCTGCTGAAGTCGGCCAGCAGGTCTTCCTTGGAAGCAGGCCTTGCTCTTCTCTGCCACCATATTGTTTAGTGGTCATTTTTATAGATGGACACCCCACAGGGATGAAGTGATGAGCCCAATGTCACACCGGGAGTGAGGAGCAGAACAGGACTGGGGTGGGGCTTACCTGGCCCTTCTCACTGTCCCACCTTCTACATTGCCTCAGTCTCCACACTCCCACACTTCCACCTGCTCTGGTCATGACACTGGCTGCTTACGACCTACTGAATCAAGACCCCTCTGCTTTGTTCCCCTTACTTTCACCCTGATGCTTAAACTAGCCCCCCTAAATGCATCTTCCATTCCAGCGTGGGCATCTTTGTGCCTTTCCTCTTTCTTACATGCACGCTGCCTGATACAGAGGACACAGGCAATAAGTGTGTGCAGAAGGGACAAGTGACTAAATGAATGCATGAGTGGCATTTGATCTTGGCATGGAATTGCCTGCAAATGGCCTCTCTTCTCACCGTCGAGACAAAACTCACTCTCCCTATGAATCCAAACTGAAGACTCGGTCTTCATGGGACTTCTTGGATAACTCTAGAACCTAGGAAATCCGTATTCTCTTAATTCCTCCACTTGTGTAAATTCTAACCTAGCTGATGACGTGCTTGGTTGCATTCCATCCAGAATGTTTCTCGACTGCTTCCTGTGAGTTAAGCCCCATTGGCCTTGGAGGGCAGGCCTTCCTTCCTTTCCTTCTTTGTTTCTGTATCCTTAACAGCGGACCTGCTGATTCCATAAGTGGTTGTGAAGTTACAGATCTACAAACAGAAGGCCCCTACATCCATGGACTGAGTATTAGTGCTCCAAATTCCTTCAGCTTCTGAAATACTTTTGCCTCTAATTGCTCTTGGTATATTTTGCTGGCAGATACCATAGCCACGTCCCCTCCACAGAGGCCCCATGTTACCTGTATGTATTTGGGAAACTGTGAGGACACGTAGACATCCATTTCTTGATCCTCTCCTTTGGGAACAGCAAGCATGCTTTGAGTTTCCATATAAAAATGTTCTTGACCTCCCATATGTATTTCACCTATTATAGGAAAGTAGGCCAGAGTCAAAGAGGCTGTCTGATAGCACAGGTAGCATTCCCCCAGCTGTTATCCATTATGGAGAAATTCCAATGATGGTGCTTCGCTGGGACAGTAGCCTGCACAGTGAAGTGCCATAAAGTATATTCAGCTTTCACTATATATGCAGATTTGAAGTAGCGTTCTCTAGCAGACTCTATCATGTCTGCCAATACAGGAGGTCACAGAATCCTAGGGAAAGGCGTGTGACTGTCCAGAGTCAAAATATTACAGCAAGGAGACTTCCATTTCCAAGACAAGATGGAGTAGATGCACCTCTTCCTGTTTCTTCTGCTAAGCACAGCTAACAACCTTGGACGTTACGTATAAAAGAAACATAAGATGACTCTGAAAGGCAAAGAGAAGAAGGCAGACCTGCTAGGGACTTGGGGACCCAAGCAAAGACCTGAAGGTGAGTTCAGCGGGCTTTGCTGTTGTTGCTTTTCTTTGCTTCATATATCCTAGACTTAGTGCAGAGACATCAGCAATCTGAAAACACTAACAGGCAAAGACCCAAAAAAGCCCCAAGAAAAGCCTACTTTCTCTAGCCATAGGACCAGGAAAGGGAAACCTAGCAGGACAGAAAACTTTTATATAATAACCACTCTATTCCAGCCAAACACTATAGAAAAAACTGTGGCCCCATCCTTATCTGCAAAATTTGAGGGGGGACCTAGACTCCTGCTCTTATCAGGCTGTAATGAGACGACCCAAACCCTCTGCTGGGTGGTGTCAGTGGGACCATAAGAGGAACGTGGACGTCCACCCTCCACCTAGCAATAACAAGGCATCACCCCTCTTTACCCACCAACACCCGGTCAGAAGAGGTCTGGTAAAAGAGGAGATTTAAATAAGATTCAGAGTCATGTAACATAATACCCAAAATGACCAAAAGACAATTGAAAATCACTCACCACACCAAGAACTTAACTTGAATGAAAAAGGATCATCAACAGACGCCAACACAGAGATGACACAGCTGTTGGAATTATCGGACAAGGATAATTCAAAGCAGCCATCATAAAAATGCCTCAACGAGCATTTACATAAACACTTGAAACAAATGAAAAAATAGAACATCTCAGCAAAGAAACAAAAGATATCAAAAGAACCAAATGGAAATTTTAGACCTAAGAAATACAACCACCAAAATTTAAGAGGCTCAATGGATGAGCTCAACAACAGAACAGAGAGAACAGAGGAAATAATCAGTAAACAAGAATATAACAACAGAAATTGCCTAATCTGAACATCAGAAAGAAAAAGACTGAAAAGAAAATGAGCAGAGCCTCAGAGACCTGTACAACTATAATAAAAGACTGAAATTTGGGTCACTGAAATCGAGTATTTGAAGAAATAATGGCTGAAAATTTCCCAAACTTAGCAAAAGACACAAACCTACAGATTCAAGAAGCTGAGTGAATATTTGGGAATATGATAAATCCAAAGAAATCCACGCCAGGACATATCCCAGTCAAACTTCAGAAAAGTGGGGAAAAAAAAAAGAAACTATCTTGACAGCAGAGGGAAAAAAACACTATCCCACCTACAGGGGAAAATACTCTGAAAGGCAGGCTTCTCATCAGAAACTAGGGGGCCAGAGGAACTGGCACAACATCTTTCAAGTGAAGAGAGACCTGTCAGCTCAGAATTCTACATCCAGTGAAAATATTCTTCAAGGATGAAAAGGAAATCAATCATTCTTAGATGGAGGAAAACAAAGAGAATTTGTCTTAAAAAAGATCTATCCTACAATAATGACTAAGGGAAGTTTTTGAAACAGAGAAGAAATGATTTTTGTGCGTGTGAGAGGAAGATTGACCCTGAGCTAACATCTGTGGCCAATCTCCCTCTTTTTGCTTGAGGAAGATTGTCGCTGAGCTAACATCTGCGCCAATCTTCCTCTATTTCATGCGGGATGCCGCCACAGCGTGGCTTGACATGCAGTGTTAGGTCTGTGCCTGGCATCCAGATCTGCGAACCCAGGGCTGCTGAAGCAGAGTGCACAAACGTAAGCACTGTGACACCAGGCTAGTCCCAAGAAATGCTCTTTTTAAAAAAAAGAAATCTTGTAACAGGAAGATTTCTGTTCCTGTTCAGAAAAGAAAGAGAACAATGGAAAGAATAAAAATACAGGTAAACACAGTAGACTTTCCTTCTCTTTTTGAGTTTTATGAGTTGCATTTAAAGCAAAATCGTAACATTGCTTCACGTGGTAGTCAATGAATGTAGAGGGAATTTTTAAGACAATGATATTATAAACAAGGGAGAGTAAAGGAATGAAAAGGGAGGTAAGGTTTCTATAATTTACTCAAGTAATAAAATGTTGCCACCAGATATATTGTAATATAGATAAATACAATTTAACACCTAGAACTACCACTAGAAAAACTAGACAAAGAGATACACTCCAAAACACTATGGATAAAAAGGAATTCTGAAAACCAAGTAACCGCTCAAAACACAGGGAAAAAAACAAAAAACACAGGGAAAAAACAGAACACAATTATGACCAGGCATCAAGTTAAGTGGAAGGCAGACTTTAAAAAATTAAAAATTATACCCCAAAATACTGATTTGCAAATTGTTTGAGGGAGATTCCCAAGGAAATCTTTTGTTTTGCTGTCTGGATTTCCTATCTTAACTAAACTCTGAGTAAAGAAAGAGTATAGAGGGGCGCAGCGGTTAAGTTCGCATGTTCTGCTTCAGTGGTCTAGGGTTCGCCAGCCCGGATCCCAGGTGTGGAACCTACGCACTGCTTGTCAAGCCATGCAGTGGCAGGCGTCCCACATATAAAGTAGAGGAAGATGGGCATGATGTTAGCTCAGAGCCCGTCTTCCTCAGCAAAAAGAGAAGGATTGATGGCAGATGTTAGTTCAGGGCTAATCTTCCTAAAAAAAAAAAAATAGTATAGAAAAATGAGCCAATTCTGTTTCATTTGTAAAATGTAACAACTAAAATGTCAAGAATTCAGCTCTTGGGCATGCCCTGCGTCCAAGTGATTAAGTTCGCCTGCTCCGCTTAGGCGGCCCAGGGTGTCGCCGGTTAGGATCCTGGGCGTGGACTTGGCACTGCTCGTCAAGCCATGCTGAGGCAGCATCTCACATGCCACAACTAGAAGGACCCACAACTAAAAATACACAACTATTTACCGGGGGGCTTTGGGGAGAAAAAGGAAAAAAAACGTTTTAAAAAAAAGAATTCAGATCTCGTTCTCAATTTAAGCTTTTATCAAAGACTGTACGTTAAAAGACCCACTGTCGGTAGGCTCAAATGCACGGTTTGCAGTATTAGCATTTCCACTTATCCACCCAGAATTAATTGTTAAACATCTACTTCATTTAAAAAATACAAAACTAAAAAACATTAGACGGAACTGTTTCTGTTTAAACCTTGAAGGTCAGCAAGGTGTCAGAACCCTGCTCCACTGTGCCGCCCATCCCACAGCCCTCGACCCACGGCGCCCTTTCTCACTCTAGGTGTTGCTCTCAACTCTCTTGGTTGGAAATCAATTTGCTCAACTAATCCTTGAGATAAAATGCTATCCCACTAATGGTTTAGGAGTGATGTCTCCAGGAATATTTACATTTTAATAAGAGGCCCTTGAAGACCAAAAAGCCATTAAGATACAAGCAGTCGCTCTGTACCACGCCCAGCAGGCCAGGCTGGGGAGATCCTCTCCGTCTCAGCTCCTAGATCTCTTGCAAATGCTGCTCCAGAGATCGGCATCCACACTCTCCAGGGTAAAGCCCACCCCGCGAACGGAATTTTAAAAAGAGATAAATGAGAAGAGCACAATGTAGAGCAGAGAATGCTAACTTCAGAGCCGGACACGTAGGCAGATCTGATTTTAAATGGTGACCTTTAAGGCCCTCTGGCGCCAGGAGCCCAGGGTCCAGGAGGGCTGACACACGTCTCCACGGGGGTCAAAGCAAAGAAGAATATCACTGTCTTCAAGAACACAGTCTAAGACTTGACGCAATGCCCCACATGTTTTATCTTTTAAATATTCTCTTGTTCTTGAAACACCCGTTTTCCTAGGGGCAGAGAGAGTGCTGTTGTTATCACTCTCCATGAGTTACCTCTCAGTGAAATAAGTATTCAAAAATTCTGACCCCAAATGACAATTACAGAATAAGGGGGAAAAAACCCTCAAACTAGTAAGTCAAGAGGATCAAAACGTACAGGCAGTATAAATGTCCCTTTTAAAGCCTCCTGTATCACTTTGATACATATCAATATGTTGTGGGGCTATAAGAAGTGAAAATTCAAGTAAAAGACAGATTGAACAAAGTACCCAACTGAACTAAATAAGATGTCAAGGAAAATACAACAATTGAATTCTCACACAAAACATTATGGCAGGAACATACTATGGCACAGGTGCAGGGAACCCCAAACATCGCTATTTCCAAGATGCTCACACCATGGACTCTGTGCTAAAAATGCCCCCTCCTCTCTTCTCCCACAAGACAAGCTCACCCCTGGAGAGTGCCGCATTTTACTGATCCCAAGCAAGAAGCACCAGGAGCACCATGAAAAGCTGTCAGAAACAGACTCCTGGGCCACCCGGATCCCCCAACTCCAGAATTGCAAGAAAGGGCACAGGATTCTGCAGGCAGGTCTCATAAACATCTCACAGTGAGGAAAACTGGGAAACCCTAGGTTTGATGAACAGATGCCTGCCAGTGTGTTAGCTCAAGAACAACAACAAAACACTAAACCTAATAATAATCATCACTCACCGTTATGGATCTCTTGCTGTGTGTCAAGCTCTGCGCCAAACACCCACACATATTCTCTCTTATGATCTTCATAACGGATCTCTGGGATCAGTATCACTTTATCCATACAATTTTAAGACAAGGAGACTGAGCCCTGAGAAGTGCCCTGCAAGTCCCACAGCTAATAATGATGCGGGGTCGGTGAGCCGAGGAGTCGAAAGAAAGATTTCTTAGACTCTCAAGATCTGGCAGTAGTGCTCTTTTATTTAGAGAATAGTGTGGAATAGCATGGGGACAGGACCCATGGGCAGTCAGAGCTTCTGCTGCCCCCACTGGCATGGGGACAGAACCCATGGGCAGGCAGAGCTGGCGTGGGGACAGGACCCACGGGCAGTCAGAGCTCCTGCTGCTGCCCCCGCTGGCATGGGGACAGGACCCATGGGCAGGCAGAGCTGGTGTGTGTGGACAAGACCCACGGGCAGTCAGAGCTCCTGCTGCTGCCCCGAGTTGAGGGTTAGGGCTAAATTTAAGGCATGGGTATGTGAATCATCTCTTTACAAGACAAAGGAAAGAACGTGAAAAAAAGTTAAAATGGTATCAGTGCAGGTGGGTCTGGCCATTGGGTGGTCCCACAACTTTTAGATAAGAATCAAATCGGATTAAGTAAAGGTTAGAAAGGTTAGACGCCACCACCCTAAACCAGTTACGTGAGATTGCCAGACAGCAACCAACTTAAGTTCTTGCCTTCCCCATTAAGAGCTTCTAGAGATAAGACCATTGCCCCTTCTTCCTGGCACAGAGAGGGAGGCATCTTTACAGATAGAGGTTTCCCTTAGAAATGTAAATGTTTCCGAACAATGGGGCAAACAAATTCCACTCCTTGGAGCCTGAATCTCATCTGTAGTTTTAAAACTAACCAGCCTAAAAATCCTCATCATAAACCATTTTAAAATTAAGCAGCCTAAAAATCCTCATCCATAAGACAGGGCGCCGAGGAACACCAGCAGGTGATGGCGCACGGTGTCTTTTCTACAGCTTACAGATGCCATCATCCAGTGAGCTGTGACCAGCTTCAGGTTTAACACAGCCGTGGAGCTAAGAAACATGGTGGCTTTGAGCTCATGTGGGCGGGCTGACTCTGGCTCTACGTTTGGGGCTGGTACGTCTTCGGACTCTTCCTGAGCTTGGGATCAAAGGTGGAAAGAAAAACTAGGGAGATGGTAGTTTCTAACTACCACCTAGAGGCCAATGTCCCAGAAATCACTTCAAGACAGACAACATCAAATGCTTTACTTCCTGCCCTCAGATATGGGACAGACGCCCACGCCCACCCAGCAATGCCTCTGGGGAAATCAGATCTTGGATGGCAGGTCTTCCACAGCATGGGTGACAGCAGAGCACAGCGGGAACTTGATCGGTTAAGACCTACAGTAAATCCTTTTTTTTTCCTGCTATAAAGGACATTATTGAGACAAACGGCAAAATTTGAATTAGGTCTGTAGATTAAATAATAGCATTGCGTCAGTGCTGATGTTTTGATTTGATAACTGTATGTTTATGTAAGACAATACCCTTGTTCTTAGGAAATAAACACTGTAGTATTTAGAGGTAAAGAGGCAGCGTGTCTGTAACTTACTCTCAAATGGCTCAGAAAAAAAATGGATATTTATATAGAGAGAGAGAGAGAAAGAGAATGATAAAGCAAGTGCAAAATAATAATTGGGGATTCTGGGTGAAGGGTAATTAGGAATTTCTTTAAGGTTTCTGCAACTTTTCTGTAAATTTAAAATTATTTCTAAATAAAAAGTTACAAAATTTTTATTGGAAAGTTCAGATCAACTATTTTCTCAGAGGAAAATTTAATTTTAATTACACATATACACAATGGAAGAAAGTCCGGAAGGAAGGGCGGGCCGGAGAAAGGGAAGGGGAGAGAAAAGGAGGGAGAAAGCAGAGAGGGAAGGGAGGGAGGAGGGAGAAGTCAGGGGAGACAGGAGGAAAGAGAAGGAAACGTGGGGTTTGGTGGTCCTGACACAAAGCTACCGACTCCACCACCAGCTCTGTCGCTCAGCAGCTGCTGTGTGACCGGGGCCATGGCGGGGCAGGTGGTCAGTGCGGGGGGGACTGCCATGGGCAAAGCCTGGGCCTCCCACCTCGTCTCTCTGCTGAGCTCTTCACGCACACACACACACACACACACACACACACACACACACACACACACACGGCAGAGGGAAGCCCATCTGTGAACGAGGTGCCTGTTTCTGAGCTGATTTCTCGAGAGCAAAGGCAGCTCTAGACTAGACACGCTTAGAAGGCCTCCAGGGTCGCTTCCCCCGCTCACCCTTTCTTTCGGATCGTTTTACCTTCAAGAATTTGATCAACCACTTTAAATGCTTCATCAACATTTCCATATTCCAGTTTCCTTTCCCCCTGGAAGAAGGAGTGGTGCCGTATAGCTTCCTAGGAAGAGAACAGAAGAGTGAGGCCACCTGCGCAGGAGACGCGGCCCTATGGCAGGAGCCGCTGCCTGAGTCTGGGCAGCGTTTCTCCCCTCGCTCTGGGACACGCAGCAGGGGCTTTAGAGCCTGAGCTCGGGGACCAGTGAAGCTGTGTCCATTTTCTCCATTCACAGCTGTTTCACTGTGGGTCTCCTGCTTCACCTCTCTGAGCCTCATCCGTACAATGCAGGTATAGCTGGGCACGGAGCTCTCACAGGGTCATGGTGAGGATGAAATGAGGCATGTCCGGAGCTTGCATGGCACATAACGTGCTCCATCAGTGCTAGCTGAAGACACTCAAGTGGTAAGGGTCATGGCAGCCTTGCCTGCCAGCCCCATGCTGCTCCTTTGCGAGGAGGAGCACAGGGCAGTAGGGAGACCTCCTGCCTTGGAAGGAAGATTCCATTACAAGCCCACTGCGGGTACCACAGATCCACTTCTGACTGGCTCCGATCAGCTTCCCTTGGGCGCCCAGTGACAGGGGACAGTGGTAGGTGCACATAATCAGGGTCACAGCTACAGTAATCCAGGTTGGTTTTCTCACCCATCCCTAGGAATTTACCTCACTGTAACCCCTGTGTCCACTGGCAAATGTGACGTGTCAGCTCCTGTCAGCATTGTCTACCACGGATTACTGTCCACCCACAAAACTCCAACCTGCTAGCAGTTAAGGATTCTGCAAACTCTGGTTCCCTCTGGCTAGCAGTAGGTGTCTAGACATACTGACATACTTCAGGGATGTTCTATTGTGATCCTGCCATTTCCTCTGTTCAAAAAGTGGGCTGGTTTATTTTTACCACCGTGGGGCCCAGGTTCTTTGACAGAGCATTTGCTGATTGCTTCTGTTACTGACTAGCTGTGTGACCTCGGGTAACCCTGTCTCTTAGCTTCCTCATCAGATGGGGATAACAGTTTTTACTCACAGGACTGAAGTGAGCATTCAGTGAGTTAATGCATGAAACCTGCTAGAACTGTGTACCCACACAGTGGGCTCTGTCAGGTGTTAGCCATGGGCATGCTGTTGGGCATCAGGATCCACGAGAATTCTGGTCAGGAGCATATTTTTCTCACCAGGGCCATCAGCTTTCTTGAGCCAGGAGTTTTGATAGAGTTTCCCCATGAAAACTCTTAAAGGCTCTACAAAGCATAAGCCAGGCTATCCCTCAGTGAGAGCGACACAGAAACATTGGTTTTATCCTATTTTGATTGATAACACACTTCCTACTGGGATCAATTCATATGATTGTCTTGTTAATCTAAGATTTAGATATTCCAGGTTGAAAAGAGGAGTTTTATAAATCCTATTTTTAAAAGTTTAATCTTTTTCCACTTCACTTGCTGCTTGCTCTCTGAGCAACTTTGAGCCAGTGTCCTGAGCATTTCTTGGTCGGGAAAGTGGTAAAAGAACTGTAGTGCGGAGAGCTGGGCGTATGCGCCTGCTATGACTGTGATGAAACCCGGCCTGCTCCAGTTGATTGCCCTTGGAGAGCTCAACCTCCGATAAAGCAGGAGGAAGGTCTTCTCCACACTGCCACAGTCTGGCATTCTCCGGCACACACCCACAGATCTGCTGGTTGGAGCTGGGGAGGGCAGGAGGAGAGTGCTGTGGAGTTGCTCACTGGAATTTTACTTGGCTGGAAGGTCGGGAGAGGAAAGGGAAGATATTTGGCCAGTGGAATTGGCCAGAGGATTACAAACAAAATTTCTGATGAAGTATTAGGTAAGCAATTTCTTATTAAGAAATAATTCTCACTCCCAGACAATGCTGTGGAAGGAATGCGTAAGGTAAGCACTCTTAGCAGGCCACAGGTGACTGAAAAGGGTCTGAGAGGGGAACAGAATATTTGAATTCGAAACTGGCCAGGAACATCCGGAAGGCCTAATCACTCTTGGACTGCAACTAAACTTCTATATTTTTGTCTTCTTGATGTGATTTTATTTTCATATTAAAACACTGAGGACACTGTCCAGAAACAAACTCTACGTTCCTGGGCATAAAGCAACACGATAGAAATATACCCCAGGCCGAGTTCTCCCGGAGACACTAATCTTGGCCGAGTCATTTCCTCGTTTTCTGCCTCGCCGCATGCTAGGCATCTAGAGAACAACCTACTCATTATACTGTGAAGATAGTACTGTATTCCCAGAGCACACGGAGTCCGTATGTGCTGAATCTAACCTACTCATGTTGCTTTCCCAACTTACATGCATGGATTACTTAGTAAATCATAAGAACCAATGAAATGTATGCAGAAAAACTATCGTTTCATGGCGATGAGTCTTAAAACCTTTATAAATTTTGAATTCTTTTCTAAAAAACAGGAAATGCCATCCTCCAATTTGTTTAAGTTGCCAAAATACCTGTGGGCATCATAGAATCTGTTTCTCACGCTCATTTAAGATATGCACTGAAGGATCTAAAAACAGTGTCATCAATGTCTGCTTCGTGGAGCATCTTGTGGGTTCTCACTGTGCGCCTGAGAGCCCAGGTGAAGTGAATGCAGAGTTAACGGCGTGTCCACCGTCCTGGACATTGTTGGTCACCCATCCAGCATCCTCTCACCTCCCCCTTCCAAATGGTGCTTAGATTTCTGTTAGGTCTCCACCACTCCCCCTTATGGCCATGCACTGCAGAGAAATCTGACCCCCGGCAGCAACCACAGCACCCCCCAATTCCTCTGGCCAGTCATTAGTTCAAAGATGGACATGTGCCCAGAGTGTCCTGATGAGGCTGCATCTCAGGATGCGTGGAGCACTGGGACAACAGTGTTCTCCTTGGCTTCTTGCACAGGAACTGGAAGCTCCTGGCTGCCATCCTGTGACCACAGGGGATAAAGCCTGTCCTGTGGGCAGCAGAGAGGAGAGGCAGAACATCCGGTTTCTTGCTAACACTGATAGAGTGCGGGGCCAATAAAAGCCTCGAACTTTGGGTCAGATTTTCGTTTCTGTTACTGCAGCCAAAAGCATTTTAACTGACCCACCACTGAAATCTGGCCCCACCCTTGACCTCGTTACCTCGATAGTTAGGATCACGGGCTCCAAATCCTGGTAGACAATCTTTACTCGCTTCGCAGCTCGCTTTGCCTGAACCTCGGAATCCGCGACCACGGCGCAGACAAGCTGACCAACACAGGACACCTACGACACGGAAAGACCTTTGTCTCAAGGGGGGCAGGCACCAGGTCCTCTCCTTCCATCCGTCTTCCTCCTCCGGCCGAGCTCAGAGCTAGATGCACAGGAAATGACCCTTCACATGTGCCTACACCCGAGGTGGCGAGGTTAACAAAGGCCTCGGTAGAAAGTGCATCTGTCCAAGCTGCCTGCTGACCCCTGGCGCTGGGGGGCTCTTGTCTTTGTCCCACGTCACTGGCAGCGGTGGCTGAAGGGGGCAGGAGAGATGCTGCCTCAAGCACGGCTCAGGCTCCAGGCCAAGCAGATAGGACTGCTGAGGGCCAGCTGGCCCAGGCGAGCCAGCCCCACGGCCTGACCTGTGGTCGCCACACCACGAGCAGGGCCATCCTGTGCGGCAGCTTCTGCCTTCACGAACAGCGAGGACCAAGAGGTCCCAGCCCACCTCCTGCACAGAGGAGGGACAGAGTGACAGCCCAACACTGCAGTGAGCAGACCTCTGCCCCAGACTGCGGTGGAGCACGGGCTCCTTGTGAAGAGACACGAGGCCGCAGCAGCCAAGCTGTGACCACACACAGCGCGTCCCCTGCATCACTTCACCTGCGGGTGACGGAGGCGCCTGAGGAGTTCACACGGGGACCAGGGCAGAAAGTAGATGGAAAAACAAAACAAAGACTCCAGAAAGGTGAAACAGTCAGGCCTGGAAGGAGTCCCCACAACGGTGCAGTCTCTCCCCCGCCTTGTCCCGTGATCACAAGCCACACTTCCCCGCTCATGTTTTGAGTCTACTTTACACTATTAGGCCTTTTCTACAATGATTACAGAGCAGTTTTATCCTCTGAAAAAACGGTAACAAAAAAAGTTGACTCCAGCGCACACACACACAAGTGTTTGCTGGGTGTGCGTGTGTGGGGGCAGTGGGAGATAAATGAACAAGAACAGCAAAACGTCGATAACTGTTCAAGCTGGGAGACGGGTCTATGGGGATTCACAGTGCTTTTCTCCTCTATCGCTGTGTACGCTTAAAACTTCTACAATGACAAGATTTTTATAAAGCATAACATGCTACAGATAAATGTTAAAAAGGCGTTAAACTAACCAAGGCGATCACTCACACGGCTCTGTTCCCCGCTCTGCATGGACGCCGGGTGTCCCCTGGGAGCTGGCGCAGAGACAGGCCGCCAGATGCTCACAATCACCATCCCACAGCTCAGCGCAGGGGCTATCGTGCAACCTAGAAGGGCTGGGGCTTGTTCACTTAACACTAATTCTCACTGTCTTCTGCCAAGGCCACACGGCCCTGCCTCGGGGGAGTTTCACGTTGACTTCAGACTCTCAGTCAACAAACTTTCATTTTTATCAACTAAGTCCGCCAGCAAGAGCCAGAGGTAGGGAGTGTTTCACGTGCTGGGCTCTTTGGGGACATACTGAACTCTGAAGGCTGAGCTATGCAGAAAACCTGCTGAACTGTCCTTGCTGTATCTTCTGCTAACTTAAGATGCAGTAGCCAAAGTTTCAGTCATTTGAAACTTTCAAACAGCAACAATGCTATCATTGTTCCTCTGCCCGTTCACCGTGCTGCCCTGCTATGTGGGAGGCAGTGTGTGGAATACACCGATGAACCAGACATGGGCCCTCACTCAAGGACGTTTACTGGGTAGGAGAATATGTAAGACGTAGGAACAAATGTGTAAGGTTCAGACAATGTAGAAAGTGCCTTCAAGGTCCACTTTGCCTTCCCCCTTAGACTCTAAGCTCTGTGAGGGCAAGGACCACATGGGTCTCGTTCGGCTACAATGACCAGCCATAGCAGGTACTTATTTTCAAAATGCTTGTTGAATACACGGCAGCATGAAGGAATGAGTCAGTGAGTTCAGAAAAGGAGGGAGAATTCCCGGATTAAAGGGTGAGGAAAGGCTTCATGGTGGAGAGACCACTTGAACTTGGACTTGGGACTTTGGACTCACTGAGACGGGGCAATGGTGAGATTTTCAGGGGAGGGATTAGCAAAGAAAAGTTATCATTATTCTCTCCTCACTTTCCCATGCTTGTTAGCAGCACACTATCTTACTGCTAGAAAATATAAAACATCAAAGTATATTTTATATAACTAGTCAACTTCTCAGGTAGAAAATGAATATCTTTGAATTCATCCAACATTAGAATATAGTGTTTTGTAGTAAGCATTCAAAGAATACTGGAATCCTTTATGATGTGCCAAATGCAATGCTTTCTTTAAGAAAATATGAAGTGCCTTTAACAGAGGAAGTTGTTTTTAAAACAGAAAGCAACAATGCAGTACCTCCTGTGTCTCCAGAAGTTTCTCAGGTTCAATTAAAAGGCAGAAGGAGTTTACGCCACGAAGATCTTCCTCGGTCACGATGTCCACCACGCCTGGCAGGCTGAGAGCTTCGGACAGATCAATGGACCTAGATGAGAACACAGAGCACGGCTCCTCAGAGCAGCCCCACAGCCGAGGACCACGGAGAACGGGCTTAATTGGAGAATAAGGTATGAGAGAGGTAAGATATGTCCAAGAACCCTTCACAACAGTTTTCTGCCACACAATTGGGAAAAAATTCCCGAGATAATAAAGTTATTATACAGAGGGACAAATTGTGGCAAATCCTCCATTTCGATCCCATTTCACCTCTAATCTGCATTGGATCGCACCAACAAATAGCGTATCCTCTGCATATCATTATTTTTCACTAATATGACTTAGGCAAAATGTAACCATGACTGTCTACAGGGTAAGAACTTATCACTTACACAATCTCAGCATGAGCTCTTGAACTTGTTACAAAAGCCAAGAAAAGTTCCCCGTCCAGCACTGGCATGTCGTCACAGTAGATGGCTTCGCCCGTGGTATGCTTAATACCAGACAGATGCATGATGGGACGGCCAATTGGGTCTTGAGGAAGCTGCTTTGGGTCTACATCCTGTTTAATCAATAACCAACAAATCATTTTTATAATCATTTTATGCACCTCTCCCACAAGAAGGTGGCTATATAATGTACACGCAAACCAGAACACTCTAGAACATGAAAACAGTCATTACTAAGAGCAACACCAGGACGATAAGCCTGTTCCAGTAATTCAACAGGGGAATTGGGATCTACAGCCATGATGTTGTTCTTGCTTTTTTCCCACATTTTTTGAATACAGACCACAACATCTCTAATGCAAATTCTATTAGTGTAAGTAAATGAATATAAATCTTTCTTCCTGATAAGGTAAGATTACGTCATCTTGTTCATGCTCATGTATTTCTTTAAATTTTATTATCAAAATTATTTTACTGTTTATCTAAACATGGCACATATATTGTGCCGCAGAGCATGATGATATCATGACTATGTTTACAGAAAATATTGAAGGCAAGCCTTCAACCAGAAGAGCCATTTTTTTCTATTTTGAGTGAAAAAGTCTAGGAAATAATTGGTAACACTCATACCTTAGACAATCCTGATAAAGAACGAAGCCAAAGGGAGATTCCTTCTGAGTAACGATTCACTAACATTACTCTTTCTTAGAGACCATGGGGTAAAATGTCTTGCTACTGGTTCTGTAAATACCTTATATGTTTCGTTAACCAAAGTAGAAACTAAGAAACATAATGTCTCCCCAAGTATTTCAAATGAGAGAGTTGTTGGCTTTCCTAGTCGGTTGTTTTAGGGAGAAGAAGTACTGGAGGGAAGAAGGAAGACGGCGTTAAGAGACACGGTACGGGCCAAACTCAGAGACCAGGGTGAAGGCTGTGGCTGCCAACGGGCTGATGATGGGAGTGCGTGAGGTGGGAATTCCAGGAAAATTGCCAGCCGGGCAGCCACGGGCTGCCTCTCAAAGCAGAGGGCAGCTCTGGGTCTGGAGCTCTGTCTGAGGAGCTGCCTGCTAAGCAGTGCTGAGCGCCCCGTCCATGACTCACTGGGTCAGCATGGGGTGTGGAAGATTTGGGGGTGAGGGGCACACAGTAGGTCGGCCAAGGTGGTGAGGCCTGGCAAAAGCTTGGGAGGGCTCCCCTTCCCCCCTTCGGCTGCTCCTCACTGCAGTTCACGGGTCAGCCCGAGCCCTGGAGGAGGCAGGGACTGTTTCTCTGAGATGAGCCTCACCAGGCTACACCACACAGCAGGAGGGAGGACGGCACAAGCCACTAACAGAACACATACTGGTTAGAACCTTTACGGGGCGGGGGGGAAGAGGCCATAGAAACGGACCTATTTCCAACTCAGCATCATTTAAGGCATCTGAGGAAACACATGGTAAAGACTTTTGTATTCGATCGCCAGAATGTGCAATTTGAGAAAGACCATTCAGCACATATTGACGATAAATGCAACACTTGATTCCACCTAAAGTGGCATCTCACTTCAGTCACAGCTGCCGACTTCCCAGAGGCGAAGCCCCCTGGTCCAGGGGACGTGCTGCGAGCCTCCTGCTCTGCGGCAGCGAAGGGAAAGACCCAGCTGTCGGGGTCCCACCCACCAACGAGCCTGTTTTCTTCTCACGCTGATGTTTTGCTTTCTTTTCCTTTCTGAACAGTGGATTTAACTGAGCAAATACCATGAATGGAAGAGAGCCATCACGGTTGGGAGGGGGAAGCTTATGTAAAGATAACGGTGAAAACATACTTCTCCAACGCCCTCTGCTGCTCACGGGACCGAGCAGAGTGGTCTTCGCTCGCTGCCCACCCACTGAGGGACTCACATTACAAACCTTCGGCCTGAGATGGACCAGAGGGTCTCCAGGCAGCCAGCAGGCCTGGACCATCAGCAGGGAAAGGAGACTGGCACGGGTAATTTGAAAACGTGCTCAGCATTTTTATGGGTTATTTGGAAAATGAAAAAAAAAACTGTTGTTTTCATAATACAAATGACAAAAGTAAAATATCAGGGAAATTTTGACTGACAATTATATGCAGAAAGTAGTCATTTCTGAAATTAACTTGGCATAAGACACATGTAGGATGCTCTAAACTTATTCCTACTTCACATAACATTTACTGTTTTATAGTATATGCTTACCCATAAGCCTTTACTGTTCTGATGCCCATATTTGTTTCATTTAAATGTGAACTTCAATTTTGCAATTACTATAAGACAATGCACAAAAAAGGAGCATTGGCTAAGTTTTTTTGGTTGTTTTGTTCATCCTGACTTTATAAATTAGAAAACAGAAGACTACCAAGAAAAATGACTTAGAACCTGGCCCAGGCCCATTAAATAAAGGTAGATATTAGGCCACAAATGTATGGAAATAGGGAAAATGAGAGGAAATTTTGCAGATTGGGGTTGAGGCATGAACAGGGGTTTGCAGCAGCCCTAACCCACACCAGCTCCATCGATGGAGCCCACTGCTTCGTCCTCCTGACCAAGCACCCCAGCAGGTCTCTTTTCCCTCTCCTTTGAGGAGCTGAGATGATGATCAAAAGAAAAACACACACAAGAGCTCTGTCTGGTATGGCTTTTGGTGCTCCCGATGGCAGGATCGATGCCCTCTGTAGAATACCCCGAGTGCTGTGCTCTCATGCTCTGCTGGGCTCTCAACTTAGACAAGATTTGAGTGAAAAATCATCCACATCTTTTTTTAAAATCCTAAGGGGGTTTTTCCATCCTGAAGAGCAAAATTCCAGGTAATTCATAAGCTTAGATACTAAGGAAATACATTCATAGGTTTCTATAAAGGCCCTGGAAGTTTTCTGTGACATAATACTTTTTACTGTAAATAATGAAACACATCATCACATTGAAAAAAAGCCTTTTGAAATCTTGCTGTGAGAAGCCTGCCAAAAGATTGAAGAAAGATACTAAGATGTATTTTTGTTCTATTCTAGAATCAGATATGAAATTGATTATTTTAGTTGAAGACATAACACCTTTTTTTGCAGTCAGCATGATGAATCTACTGGGGAAAGGGGTTGCACTCGATTACTTGCTTCTGCTTGTTTGTGGCTAAAGATATGATGGAAGAATATCGTCTCCCTGAACTGGCCATCTCCTGGAGCTGTGTCGAAACGCTTTCAAAGCAACCGAACTCATTTGGGGAAAAAATGCTCATCAGGAGTGCTGACGTTGCACCAACAACGTGGATATTTGTGTGTGTGAAAAACCACACACACACAAAAAAATGAAACTCATCTGTGTGGCAGATACACTGCTTCCAAAACTTTGACTTGCAAGCTTTACTAACAAGCTCCCTTTGAAGATGACGAACTACATGAAAATTATCAGTTTTCTTCGGATGATTGGAATGGCCAATAATTTGTTCTCGTTTCTTTCTGAAGTTTATTCCATTGGCAAGGCAAGGTTAGGGTATTGACAAGCCGAAGGTTGCAGCTGCCGTATTTTGCAGAATGCCAGGGAAGATGGCAGCTGTTTTTAACTGTCAAAATGATCTCTTGCGGTGGAGTTTGGCATATTTGAATTTTTGAACATACTGACCCTAAAATCTCAAGGAATATACACCAATTTCCACGCTCATCACGACAGACTGTGAGCTTTTATAACTAAATCCAACAACAGATGCGATGAACTGATGCTTTAAAAGCCTCTTCATGTTCTTGACTTCATAAAACTCTCAAGGTGAAGTTTCCTGATAATAATTTCAAGAAAAAACACATTGAATCTTATCCAGTTTACCAACAGGACCACTTCAGGTGATCGTTTTGTGATGTTATGGCAAAAAATTCCATTTCAAAGTTAATGAGGAATTCTGCCCTCTCAACAGTCAGTTTTCTTTAGGAAAGCTCAAAAATAGAACTTACGCTTAGATCTTAGAACTTACGCTTGACTCAACTCAAATGTAACTCACAGAAAAAACACTCGGAACAGAGGGACTGGGGGAAGAGAGTGTCTCCACATGCAAACAAAATAAACCAGCGGCTCTTTTAACAACCCTTCCTGCCTTTTCATCACCCTCTAAGGGCTGGGTTTTCTCCTTCTCTGAAAATGAAGCAGCCCTGTGGCCCTGACACAGAAGTGACTTTGGTTGTGCTCTGACTTCCATGGTGCCAAGGGCAGAGAGCATGTGGCAAGGTAGCCAGCTCGTTCATGTCGGTGGTACAAGGCCACAGAACAAAACACATGGCCTTCAAGATCAAAACAGACATTTAAAAATAATTACCATTGCCACTTTTGTTTTTAGTCCTAATTCTTCATTGGTTTTGAAATTTTAATGAACACGATAGGAGGCTTGAGTTCACCAGAAGAGGAGGTCCAGTTTACAAAGCTTGAGAGTCACTGAGAGATAAGTGGGACGTCCAGGTGCAGGAGCTCCATGGCCCAGGCCCTTCAATTAAAAAAAAAAGCTACCAACCTGGTACTTTGATGTACCCCAGTGATTTCTGGAATGAAGATCTTCTAAAGCACTCTCATACTTGTCTGCAAGGCCAGGATAGCGAACAGGGTCCTGAAAAGAGGAACCGTTGTAGATATTTAAAATATGGCGGTACCAGAATGGTCTTCGAAGGGAGACAAGCATGGTTTTTAGCAAGCAGCTCTATTCTGAAGTCTGACATTTCTTAAGAACTCGCCCAATTCAGAACCCTGGAAGTACAAGCAGCTCGCTGACCCACAAGTTCGGAAGGTCCACATATACGACCACACTTGACAGAGAGTCAAGTGAATACAGTAGGTCACTGACTTCCAACATCTTTATGGGTCTTATGATTTTCTCACATGCTTTCCTAAACGATTTGAATACTTAAAAACCAATAAAACGGGAAGATCAAAGCTAAGTAAATAAAGGGGAAAGGAGGAAAATGCTTAAACCAGGAAACAGTCAGAGCCAAAGGACGCCACTGCGAATGAGCACAAAACTCTGCTCTGCATCACCCGGTGAACCCCGGAGAAGGGACCCTGCCGGGGCTGCATGCCTCCAAAGCCCCACAGGAGGTGGCGTTCGGGGGCCCAGGAGGAACACTTCTCAGGGCTGAGGGAAATGGGTCATTTGGGTCCTTATACAAGACCTTAACCAATACCTCTAATGGTCATGGTTTATATTTTAAAAATTTTAACAGAAAAGTAAAGCCAACAAAGGTTATTATTTTTAATAATAGAGGAATACTGACCAGAGGAAGCTGAATTGAAGGTATAAAACTACAAGGCAGAAGCTTTAAGTGATACACACTTGATGCGCCCAAGAAACTGTATTAGCTTGCTATCAATTGGAGGAGTCTATAATTGGCTTTTTTTGCTCTTTTGATTACATGGTGACAATATGTCACTTATACGTGATTTCAAGCTTCTATTCTCAAAGATTTGATGAAACCCTTCTGGTTCTTAGTTGTTCCCAGCTACAATGAGAAGACACTTTCAGAAGCAGTGATAAGAGAGAGCTTTGTGTCTCGTATTTCCAGGGATCATATCAACCTCTATACCACACGAAGAATGTTCTTGGTTTCTAGTCTAGTTTGGTCAGCTGGTTGTAGGGTGGGATTAAGGAGGCCAACATGGTTCAAGTTCCCCATAGGTCAGGCAAATTTATTCAGAGAAATTTTTTTAGTTGTGTCCTCCCTAGCAACTATCTTGTAACTCTAGTTGTTTGTCATAAGGGAGACCAGGCAAAGAATGCCTGGGTGATTACTATCATCATTATGACCACTGCTAGGCTGCTCCATCACGTTCCTCTGAAGCACTAGGGACCACATGAAGCCCTTTTCCTATGACGACCTGTTTCACAATAACCTTGTGGACTGGCTGTCATCGTCATCTCATAGGTGAGAGAAATGAAGCTGAACCCAGAGAAGAAAGTCGAACGCACGAAGGTAAAGCTCAACAAGTGGAAGAAATGCTTCACTGAGGGAAAACACCTTCAGATCACTCACAAGTCTTCTGCATACCGTCTAGACAAACAGCAGGGAAGAAACAAGGTAACTGAGCAGCATTATACAAAATCCTGCACAACTCCGTGCTCTACTGGCAACTCCTCCCCAAACTCACACCTGTCAACAGACACAGACAGCCATGGAGCCCAGCGGGCCCGTGTGTTGCTGATTTGGGTCGTCTTTTCTATCCTATAGCTACTTAGGACGGAAGCGCTGCCTCCAGTTTGGGCATCACCAGAACCCCCAGCACTGGGAAAGCTAATACACGGTCAGTTCCATTTACCATCGTCTTCAAGATCTGTGACACTTTCAGGTAGAACTTGAAGAAGAAGCTGATGACGAGCGTCCTCTTGAACTCCACCTTTCCACCCGGAGCCCAGCCCGGAAGGGAGACTTCATCCAGAATCAGCCTGCAGGCTGCATCCAGCATCTCTTCATTCCAGGGCCTGCGAGGGTCCAAAGAGAAGACTCCTGGCTCACAGGCTCAGCGAGCGTGTGAGACAAACAGCTACAATTTAATGAAGGAAATAAGAATACGAGCTCTGCAGTCGGGCAAGCCCAGCTCGAATCACAGTCCACCTTCTCAAAGCATCTGGCCTGGGCTCACCACTGCCCCATCTGCAAAAGGTAAGAATAGCAGAACCCACCTCATGGAGGGGTCATGAGGAGGGAATGACAGCCCATGTTAAGGCCCGAGGCCAGGAGTAAATGACCCCATATCACAAGAATGTTTACTGCGTGCCAGGCTCTGTTTTAGGCACCTTATATGTATCCATTCACTTCATCCTCTCAACGGCCCTCTGAGGTAGGGACGATGAGCCCCTGTGTCAGATAAAGAAACTGAGGTCCCGTCAGGCTAAGTAAGCTGACTGAGGTCACATAATCAATAGAGGCTGAACTGAGATTTGGACCCAGGCAGCTTGGCTCAATCAAGTTCAGGCTTTTAACCACTACTTTCTATTACTTCTGAAATGGGAACTGATCCCTGGTAAATGCTCAAGAAATATCAGCTATTACTATCATCTATAGAAATAAAAAGTCAGGTAAGCAAAAGCATTTAGCCATTTATTATAAAACAAACCCCCATAATCTATTTTTCATCATGGCAAATTATTCTCACAATAAAGAATGAAAATTCCTTCATTTTGCTTACCGTGTCTATGTACTATTGGGAAATGTGCTCTTGCTCTCTCTCTTTCCCTCTCCCTCTCTCTCTTTCACACACACACACACACACGTACACACACAGACTATATGATGCCCACTTCAGAAATCACTAAAATCAAGACATATGGAAATAACCGAAATCTTATTGGAATTCCATGCCATGAAATGAAAAGGTACTAAGCATCTTTCTCTTGTAATTGCATGCCACCACAAAAAGAGCTGTCCCATAACTTAGAGAGAGTCTGACGTTACGAGGGTATGACGCCATACCTTCCGATGAGTTGCTGGCAGGAATTTTTTGCACAGATGGTGGTTGGACCAACCCCTCCATATGCAATGGATAACTCTCTAATGATGCCACCTCCTTCTCCAAAAAAGACTCTCATTCCTGAATTGACTATCGCAAGAGCGTTCTGCTGCCGCTGGGCTTGTCGGAAGGCTGACACAAATTCCCACTGAAAGCAGAAGACAAGTGGCACATGTAGAAACACATGAGTGACAATTACGCACTTGGCAGTTTACATGCGTGGTCCTAACCCCTAGGACCTCAGAGCGTCCCTGTATTTAGAGACAGGGTCTGTAAAGAGGTAATCAAGTTCCAATGAGGTCATTAGGGTGGGCACTAAGCCAACGCGGTGGAATCCTCGTAAGAAGAGGAAATTTGGAGACAGACACAGAGGGAAAACCAGGTGAAGACACAGGGAGAAGATGGTCATCTAGAAGCCAAGGAAGGGAGCCTCAGAAAACCACTCCTGCCAACGCCTCGACATCAGACTTCCAGCCTCTAGACTTGTGAGAAAATAGACGTGTGCTGTTTAAGCCCCCGAGCGTGTGGTCCCCTATGACGGCAGCCCTGACGGCCGGTACACCCTCCGAGGCAGCGGGATGATGCCCTCGTCACCGGTGGGGGCTCTAAGGCTCGGAGGGGTTCAGAAACCAGTTCAGGGTCACAGTGGATCTGGAAACCAAGGTCCAATCTTCAGTCTGACTCCAAGCCCTTCTTCTTGCCACTGACTTCTATTATAAATGTGTTTTTGTAGCCTCTTTCAAGGAATATAGGTAGAAGTATCTTTTCTAGTCTTATTTAGGAGAAAGCCTCATGGGACAATGAATTTTTAAACGTCTGTAGGAAAGTAACGTTAGAGTTTGGGTTTGTGGAGGCGGGAAGACAGAGAGAGAGAGAGAGAGAGAGACAGAGAGAGAGAGAGACAGAGAGAGAGAGAGAGAGACGGAGAGAGAGAGAGAGAAAACGGCAGAGATGAAGGTCCCCCGATTCCAGGAACAATAGGGGTTACGTAACACAAGTGGAAAGTGACTGTTCACAAGGCCTTGGAATCTCCCCTGTAAACAGTCAACACTTTTTCTCAACCCCCATCTGTGGGAATTAACAAGCCACAGGCTCACAGGTAGAACCAAGAAATCGAAAGGACCCTCTCACCTTCCTGGAGTAGGGGATGTTCACAGAGACCAAGATTTCTCCAGGCTTAAGATCGGCGCTGGGGCACTTTGTGAGAAACTGCTCATTTAAAGGAATCTGTCGTTCTCCTTCTGCGGAAAGAAATGACACCTTTCCTGGCATCTGTTCCACTAAACAACCAAACTTCCAAAACTTTGGAAATAATTCTACCAAATCCCGAGGAAACCGACTGTTTGGGAAGGACGCGCTCTGCCTAGGCTCACTGACTCTTTCGTGCACGATGGCACTTGCACTGTCTCCTGCAGTCTAGGCCTCACCTTTCTGGTTCTGGGCCATCTTTGCTTGCTGAGAAACAAAGACCTCCAGCAGAGCAGCCCGGAGGCCAGGCGGAGCCGCCTCAGCAGTCCTCTTCCCGAACAGCACAGCTCACTGGCAGCTTTAGAGTAGGGAATGGATAGTAACGTCCCTTTGATATTCTGATCACGTCATTCAACAAACATCTATTGTTTCTAAGCAGGAATCCTACTAGGGTAAATAACCCTACCAGGTTGATTCAGTAGTGAATAAATAAATTGCTTTTGATGAATTTTTATGCTGGTGAGGGGCTGTCTTATTTGTTTATAATCTTTTCCATCACCTAAAAAATTTCTGTTCTTTAGTCAATATATTGAGGGGAGGAACCATTTAAAACTATAACAAAATATGACTTTGGGATGAAAGCTAAGAAGTTTTTGATGTTTACACTCACATCACAAAACCTATTTCTCATTATATGATCTTTTAAAGGGATGTTACTTAAATTTATAACTCTGAATGTAAATCTTCCCCCTTAAGATAATTTTGTGATTTAGATGATATGAAAAGTAGGTATTTAACAATGTAGGTAATAGAAAGCTAGTGCATGTTTTTAAAGGAAAATAAAAACAGATGTATAGAGGACCAATTAAAACTTCCTAATAATTGTTAACCAAGTTGGAATAAGAGAAAGAAATTAAATTCTGAACTTAGTTTCAAAATCAAGACTCAAGGGGCTGGCCCAGTGGCGCAGCGGTGAAGTGCACACGTTCTGCTTCGGTGTCCCGGGGTTCACCGGTTCGGATCCTGGGTGCGGACATGGCACCGCTTGGCATGCCATGCTGTGGTAGGCGTCCCATGTATAAAGTAGAGGAAGATGGGCATGGATGTTAGCTCAGGGCCAGTCTTCCTCAGAAAAAAGAGGAGGATTGGTAGACGTTAGCTCAGGGCTAATCTTCCTCAGAAAAAAAAAATACAACAAAACTCAAGTCAATAAATATAGAATGAAGCCCCACCATTGTTCAACAGAAAAAGGCCTGTAGGCTGCCATCGACAGCAAATTAAAGAGAAGCACATGGCATGATGTGGCTCCACAACACTCTTGGACCACCTGGAGAGAGTCTTCACCAAAGGGGCCCAACAGTTCTCAGCAGCCTCGAGTTCTCTCCACTACGCAGAGCACGTTGGGACACTAACACAAGTACGGTCAATGTAGGGTAACCAGGACGGGAAAATATCTAGCACGAGGCCTCAAAGAAAACCAGATGAAGACATTGGAGTGTGTGGAATTAGGACCATGCTGAGCAACTTCCCAGCATCCAGAAAGGCAGAGAGAGTTATTAACATCATAGAGAATAGTCATTTTCAAAACTGCACCTCCTGCCTCTTCAGAGAGAAAAGGGGGTAGGAAGAGCAGGTTTACTAATCCCCAGGAAAGAGCTGTCACTCACCTTTTGACAGCAAGTTGAGCGTACAGTTGCCCACAGCCAGGAGGGGATTCAGATCTGAATCCAGATGCCTGCTCACGATGTGGCCCCCTAAAGACTTTTTAAAATAATAAGTTAGTTTCATACCAGCTATGTAATTATAAAAACACAAGTGATAAAACAAGGATCAATCAAGGCTTTGGAGAACTATTCTTTTTGTCTGTTCCAAAAGAATGAAAATGTCATGATTTGTCAGAGACAGTCACCCAAGGAATGCACACTGGAGTTTACTGTCATCAAATACATACAGCCATGTTCCTGATCTGGCATCCGGCCAGAGTTCCCAAATGCTTCCAGACAGCATGGTACGTCTGTGTCTTCTCCTCTGGAAGCTTCTGGATCACTTCAGCCAGGATCTCCTTCACCTGAGCCAGGCTGAGGCCGGCACCTAAGGTCAGCCCTAAAATAAAATCATTTGTAAATAATGCAGTGTGATTGCTGCTGACCTAGAAATGTCCATTAGACCAAAGCTACAGACATGGGATCTTTATGCTGGATACGTGCTGCCATGCTTATTGTTGGTGATGGTGGTGGTGGTGATGATGGAAGTGGTGCTGATGATGGAAGTGGTGGTGGTGATGGTGGTGATGGTGATGGAAGTGGTGGTGGTGATGGTGATGGAAGAGGTGGTGGTGATGGTGGTGGTCGTGATGGAAGAGGTGGTGGTGATGGTGGTGGTCGTGATGGAAGAGGTGGTGGTGATGGCGGTGATGATGGAAGTGGTGGAGGTGATAGAGGTGGTGCTGAAGGTGATGGAGGCTAAAGGTTTTGAACACTCACTCTTCAAGCACTCAGCTGAATACTTCAGAGAATTTCCCTCAATCCTAACAAACGTTTGAGATAATAACCCCATTTTGCAGATGAAGAAACTGAAATTCAGAACTTGACTAGGTTCTTACAGCTTATATGCCATAGTTAAGAATTACACTCCAGAGCCTGACTTCAAACCCACATTTACATTGATTCCCATCATTGTCATTAAATCAATTTCCCTTGTGGGAATGGACAAGCCAGTCTGTGAGCTGCTAAATACATAAACGTGCTGTGCTTACCACTGTGCTTCTGGAGAGCAAGGACTGTATTCCAGTCATTCATCTTCTCTCCAGCACTTAGCACAGTGCCCTTCCTTGAATAGTTGTTACATTTCTCTGATACAGCAGACATAAAAAGTTCTTCAGTAAAAATACGAGTAGTCAGATAATTAGTCTCTCATATAACTACAGAGCATTCTCCCCTGAGCCTCCTCCAGAAGGTTATCACTCTTATAAGAAGAGCATCTCTCTGTATATTATAATTAGGAATAATTCTTTTTCTGCTCGTCTGCTGGGCAAAGGAAATAAACTGATTAATGCATTTTAACTAAGAAAACAGGGACCATAAGAACTCACCATCATCTGCATGGTTTACAACGCTCAGTTCTTCAATACAATCAGGAGAAATTATAACTGGGTGAAAGGTGCCTTTAAATCTTACTTCAGGCCCTAAAGGATCAGGAAAATAATAAATTTTGGAATTGTCATTAGAAGTGATATCTTTAAATATATAAAAACCACACATCTTTCTATTTGTCTGTTCATGGCCAAATCACACACAGAATGGCCAGATGGACTTTCACTGAACTTAGGGGACTCTAGACTTGTCAGCTTTGAAACTCGCCTGACAAGTCCAAGACAACTTGTGGCTTACTCAAAATTCTCTTTGGGAAGATTCTAGAAGACTGTTCAAAGAAGTAGACGTCACACTGAGTTTACAAGGAACACAGCAGAAAGAGCCTGGAAGTGCAGCTTAGGAAAATCACGTCATACCTACTGAGACAGCACCAGAGAGGAGACAGCGAGCAATTTCAAATGCGAGCCCAGACCAATCTCCAGTGGAAAGACGGGACAGCTGTCACTGGAACTGGGGCTTCTGAGCTGTTATGGAGCAGCCTCCTGGGGGCAACTCTGGGCACTGCTCTGATCAGGGGCAACAGGAATTTACTTAGGCAACGGAAGCTGCCAGAGCGTCTTGAGCAATGCTGGGGAAGTCAAGGCGAAATGACTGACAGTGCTATTTCTCACTGCTTTTGCGGAGAATATGCATATATGAGGTTTTTTACCCCCCCCCCCCAAGTCCTTTCCCTCAGTTTCCTCATAAGAGGCCCCCGGAGTTCCACATACCCACAGAGGTGTTCCCCATGACAATAGGGGCCTGCGGATACTTGACTTTAGCTTCTAGAAGTTCCTTCAGGGTCACTGGAGAAATCCATGTCATTCTGTCACCAACAAAAACCCTGGTCCTTTGTGGTTGTTTCTCAGCCATTATCTATTGAAAAAGCAATACGGATTCAAGGTCGTCTCATGACAATATTTCCACCTGTTTCTGCTGTACCTTTGTGGGAACAGAGAAAGGAAATGGAGATCTTTTTTAAAAATAAAATAAAAGAGGGGTCGGCCCCATGGCGTAGTGGTTAAGTTTGGCGCACTCCACTTTGGTGGCCCAGGTTCATAGGTTCAGATCCTTGGTGCAGACCTACAGCATTCGTGAGCCATGCTGCAGCAGGACCCACATATAAAATAGAGGAAGACTGGCAACAGATATTAGCTCAAGGCAAATCTTCCTCAGCAAAAAAATAAAATAAAAGTGACCTAAAAGTAGAGCTTTAGTAGGAATCAGAGATCAAATTAAAAATATGACAACATTTTACTCCTTCTGGAGTCTGTTGCCAGATATCTCCCTTTGCTGTTTTTATATCTCAGAGGAATTCATTGCAATGTTTAAAAATATTTTAACATGCTTAATTTTGTCAAAGCACTCTATGGGAGAATAAACTTCGGCAGAATGGAAGTAGAAAACATGTCTACAGCTCTGCATGTTGTGATGTCATCTCATGACATTTTTTATAGATACTATCTGCTGCTTCTTACAGTCAACCGTCCCCTCGTGGTGACTCCACCCCCATTCCTCCATCTCTGCCTCGGTCCCATACTCTTTAGGCCTTGGGCCAAGGATGACAGAAGGATATTACCTAATCGCCAATCGGCTTTGGGAGGACCCATAAGGAAACACCCCTCCCGACATTTCAGCATGAATTCCTCTAGGACGAGCTCAACTTTGCCTTACCATTAGCTCTGGAGGAAATATCAGCTCCTGAGTTGGATCCAATGGCAGAAACTCCTCTTCTGAGAAGAGTTTAGGACTTGTCTTAAAAAGAGAAAGTACCAGAAGTTATTGTTATCAGGCAATTCTGACTACTTTAAATCTTCTGTGGAGTGGGGCCGGAAGAAGATAAGACACACAGCAGACAGACAAAGAGGCAGCTGGCCAGCCACAGTCCCTGCCTCCCAGGTCAAGGGCTCTAGCACAGACCTGGTCACCAGCAATGCAGTGCAGGTGTCGATGGGCCTCCCAGGCCCTCGGTGCCCTGTCCAGAGTCTGGGGGAGCAGAGGCGCAGGCAGCAGCCCCAGCACAGGGCAGAGCCAGAACGTGTCCCTGAATCGCCGCCTCTCCTATCGTGACACCCTCTGCCTGTTCTCCCACTTTCTTAACAGCTCCACTTTACTTCTGGCCCTCGAAAAGAGACCTGAAAAAGGCTCTTTTTAAACTAAGAGGCATTAAGGGATCAGTGTCTTCTGTCTGATAGATAGTTGTACTTGAACTGGAACGAAGGATGAAGTTGTCAGGATAGATTTTCCTTTGATAGAGATGGAGTGAGCACGGGAAGGGGACATGCTGACACACCTCACGTTAGTCAACTTGGGCAGCCACTTACTCCTCCTAAAAGTAAGTCGGTCTGTGCTCATGTCCTGAGAAAACCTTATAAAAATGTACATTTCACTGACCTTATTTCCTTCCTCAAACTCTGGTAATTCATTTATTCCTTGATCCAAACAGCAAACCCCATTTTCTTTACTTTGACAGCAGCCAGAAGTCTGGTGGGTAAAAAAAACAAACAACCCAGATTTTATTCCTGATTCTACTAAGTGTTTTTTCAGCCTTTTTGAGGTATAATTGACAAATAAAATTGTATATATTTAAAGTGTACAAGGTGACTATTTGATATATGTGTATTTTGTTAAATTATTACCACTATCAGGTTAATTAACACATCCATCACCTCACATAGTTACCATTTTTGTGTGGGTGATGGTGAGAACACTTAAGGTCTTCCCTCTTCGCAAATTTCAAGTACACAACACAGTAGTATTAACTATAGTCCCCAGGCTGTAAATGAGATCCCCAGAGCTTATCCATCTTATAACTGAAGGTTTGTACCCTAGGATCAGCATCTCCCCATCTCCCCCAGCCCCCAGTCCCTGGTAACCACCATTATATCCTCTGTTTTTATGAGTTCAACTTATTTTTTTCCTTTTTATATTCCACATATAAGTGAGATCATACAGTATTTGTCTTTCTCTATCTGACTAATTTCACTGAGGATAATGTCCTCTAGATTCATCTATGTTGTTGCAAATGGCAGGACTTCCTACATTCTCATGGCCGAATAATATCTTTATATATATGTACACACATACACACACACACCTTTATCCATTCATCTGTCAATGGAAACAAGTTATTTCCAAATTTTGGCTATTGTGAATAATGCTGCAATAAAGATATCTCTTTGAGATACTGATTTCATTTCCTTCAGATATATACCCAGAAGTAGGATTGCTGGATCCTATGGTGGTTTTATTTTTAATTTTTTGAGGAACCTCCATACTGTTTTCCATAGAGGCTGCAACATTTTACATGCCCACCAACAGTGCAGAAGGGTAACCTTTTCTCCATATCCTGGCCAACACTTGTCTTTTTAATAGCCATTCTAACAGGTATGAGATGATATCTCATTGTGGTTTTGATTTGCATTTCCCTGATGATTAGTGATGTTGACCACATTTTCATGTACCTGTCCAGCATTTGTATGTCTTCTTTGGAAAAGAGAAGATTTCTTGGAAAAAAGGAGATTCTCCTTTCCACATTGTGTGTTCTTGGCTCTTCTGTCAAATATTACTTGACCATATATGCATGGGTTTATATCTGGGTTCTTGATTCTGTTCCAAGGTTTATGAGGCTATTTTTATGCCAGTGACATACTGTTTTGATTACTATAGCTTTGTAATATAGTTTGAAATCTGAATTTAACTCTTCAGATTCTTTGCCCATTTTTTAATGAAGTTATTTGCTTTTTTGCTATTGAGATGCAGGAGTTCCTTGTATAATCGGATATTAGCCCCTTATGGGATATGTGGTTTGCGAACATTTTCTCCGGTTCCATAGGTTGCCTTTTCACTGTGCTGATAGCTTCCTTTGCTAAGCACAAGCTCTTTAGTTTGATTTTGTCCCACTTGTTTATTTTTCCTTTTGTTGCCTGTGCTTTTGTGTCATATCCAAAAATATCATTGCAAAGACTGATGTCAAGGAGTTCTTTCCGTGGGGTTTGTTCTAGGAGTTTTATAACTTCAGGTCTTACATTTAGGTCTTTAATCCATTTTGAGTTAATTTTTGTGAGTGGTGTGAGATAACAGCCCAATTTCATTCTTTTGCATGTGGCTATTCAGTTTTCCCAAAACCATTTATTGAAGAGATTCTCCTTTCCGCATTGTGTGTTCTTGGCTCTTTTGTCAAATATTACTTGACCGTATATGCATGGGTTTATATCTGGGTTCTTGATTCTGTTCCACAGTTTATGAGGCTGTTTTTACGCCAGTGCCATACTGTTTTGATTACTATAGCTTTGTAATATAGTTTGAAATCAGGAAGTGTAATGCCTCCAGTTTTGTTCTTCCACAAGATTGCTCTGGCTATTGTCTTTTTGGTTTCATATGAATTTTAGGATTGTTTTTTCTATTTCTGTGAGAAATGCCAGTGGAATTTTGTTAGGGATTACATTGAATCTGTAGATCACTTTGGGTAGTTTGGACATTTTAAGAACATTAGTTCTTGCGATCCATGAACATGGGATATCTTTCCATTTATTTACGTCTTCCTCAATTTCTTTCATCAGTGTCTTGTAGTTTTCAGCATATAGGTCTTTTACCTCCTTCGGTAAATTGATTCCTAAATATTTTACTGTTTTTGATGCTATTGTAAATGAGACTGTTTTCTTAATTTCTCTTTCCAATAGTTTGTTGTTAGTGTATAGAAACAACTGATTTTTGTACGTTGATTTTGTATTCTGCAACTGTACTGAATTTGTTGATTAGTTCTAACAATTTTTTTGGTGGCATCCTTAGGGGTTTCTATATATATAAAATCATGACATCACAAACAGAGACAATTTTACTTGTTCCTTTCCAGTCTGGGTATCTTTGATTCCTTTTTCGTGCCTAATTACTTGGCTAGGACTTCCAGTACTGTGTTGAACAGAAGTGACAAGAATGAGCATCCTTGTCTTGTTCCTGATTTCATTCACTGTATGCTTTAGCTCCAGAATTTCTGCTTGGTTCTTTTTTATTATTTCTATCTCCCTGTTAAACTGCTCATTTAGTTCATGAATTGTTTTCCTGATTTTGTGGAATTGTCTTTCTGTTTCCTTGTACCTCGTGGTTAGTAGGATCCATGTCCCTTTGAGGTCCTCTGAGAGCCTGGGCTGCTCTTCTCCCAGCCCTCCCTGCCCTCCAGGTGTGTAGCACTCCTCAGTATTCCGGGTGGGACAAGAGAGAAGTGGGCCTCTTTGGCAGTGCCCCACACACCTGGAAAAGCTGGGTGCTCACTCATACACTCTCACTTCCCCCATGGGAGAAATTGTGGGTGGAGGACATCTCTCTGGGCACTGAGCTGTGCACCTTGGAGGAGGGATGACGCAGGTAGAGTAAAACTGTTCCTCCTACTCTCTTCAGTGTGTCCCATCTTGGACTTTTTTACTCCAATGGCATACTGGAACTTCTCTGCTGGACTCCTGAATTTCCATAAAGGCACTCTCGTCCATGGGCAACTGTCAAAATTGGTGTTCTTTTGGGGGAAGATGGTAGAAAACTCCTATTTCACCATTTTGCTGATAGCACTCCTCTGTGGCCTAAGTGTTGATTCACATCTGGGACCTGACCCTCACCTAGACAGAAAGGCAGCTGGTCCAGCCTCAGGAGGGGGCTGACCTTCTGGGGTGAGTTGCTGAAGCTGGAGGTGGAATGCAGACCCCAGGCAGGAAGCAAATTCCCCTCTACTAAGCATTAAATTAAACAGGTGACTACTATTGAAACATAGTACAGAACCAATATCGTTCAATGCTATGAAGAGAGCAGAGTGTACTTACACATAACCAAACTAACTTCCAATTTAAAAATCTCAGCTTATGAGAAATTTGAATAGCCGTGATTCTTAAATACATTAAAATATGTAAAGATCTTAAACAAAGCCTGGCATATAACAATAAATATTATCAATGTTGATTGCTAATATTAATAATATTTAATATTTTACTAACAGTAAATATTAACAAGTATTATTATTATCTCTCAGTTCTTATGTATAACGTACTGATTTCACAGTTTAACTTCTAAAAGGCAATCTATGTCCTTCATTTCAAGGTTATTTGTTCATTTATTCATTCAACAAATACTGACTGAGTGGCTACTCTATCAGTGCATGGTGACCAGCCCTGGAAATGCAGAGGCTCTGCTGTCAAGCAGCTCACCGTGTGGTGAAGAGATGGGCAATTATAGCACTGTGTGACCAGTGTTGTGACAGGGAATGCGCAGAGGGCTGCAGCAGCACTGGGGCAGGGACCTGACCCCGACAAACAGATCAGGAATGACCTCTCGGAACAAGGACCCACAGACAATATCGAAGCACTTAGGCGCTCAGTATGTGCCTGCCAGGACAAGCTCAAGGAACGAGATGAGCACCCTGCCCAAGATCAGATAACAAACAGCAACTCCGGACCCTCAGATAAGCAGCCCTGTATTGTAACAATGGCTGCTCCCCTTATCACACCTCATGACCCCTCCTGTTCTGTCTCACTGGGGAAGAACAGACTCAATAATGCGTTCATGTCTACTTACTTTACAGAAAGTCTTGCACGCATCAATTATGGGCCTGTATCCAGTGCAACGGCACAGGTTACCTGAGGGAGAAAACCCAAGTCTGTTACTCAAGCGCTCTAGAGAGAAGCACGGTCTGTCACATGCATGAGGGAAACAAGGACCCCCATCCAGGAAGAAAGCCCTGGCTGACATTTCAGCCCACCCAATCTACAAAGTCAGATTTTTTCATCAACAACTTGGCATATTTGGTTGGGAGCCTTATGGTAGATTTTAACAACTCAGCTCTTCTCACTTTCTCTCTGTAAACAGTTAGGGTTCCTCTGCTTGTGATATGTGCTCAAAGAACACAATGACTTCAAGGCAAAAACTCTTGGTCTACACTCACATTCAAGAGCTAAACTTCAACTGACAGAAAGATCAAAGGCATTACATAGCAGCTAAGGTAATTATTAAACTTTGGAAGCCACTGGGCACATAATTTATTGACACTAAATCATCAGGCCAGTGTTTTTCTCACGTGGCTCATATCCCACATTCTCCCTCCCACCCCCACATCTGGGGTCTACTTAAAAACAAAGCCACTGAATCAAGTGCGCTGGGATTGGGTCCCAGGGATCCTCTTTTTTTATAAACTCCTCATGTGAGTCTTAAGCACCCTAAAATGTGAGAGCCCCTGTCTCTTCTTCACATCATAAACTGTCGTGAGATCAAATGCATAATCAAACCCAAAGGAAAACAGGTGGAGAGTCAGGTGCTGTGTCTCTCCTTCCGATTCTGGTCTTCCCTGAGCACCTGCAGAGGACCTGGGCACGTGAGCGTCAGCTGCACGTTCTCTAGCAGAGAAGTGAGGTCCTCGAGAGATGGGAGACAAAGACCAACAGAGTGATGGAGAGTTCACCAGAAATAGGACTTGGGAGGCTGCTAGTTTTTAAAATTGTTTAGAATCCTGTTATTGAAGACATCTCCCACCCACACATACGCTGCGCTCCTGGCCTGGATAAATCAGCTCTGGTTGTGATAAAGACAGTTCTTTGATACACGTAACCCAAGATAACCTCCAACTCTTTGATTCTGTGTGGTTTTCAAGAGTCTTCTGATATTTAATATGGTCCTGAGAGTGCAGGGGAGTGGTGGAGGGGGCAGCATGTGGAGACAAGTGGCCTTTTTCCAAGGGTAAGTGAATAAACTGGATTTGTAGTGATTACAAAAATAATCAAACAATAAAAAAGGGAGGAGACTCTTATAGATTAAGAGACACTTAAGAACTATAACGGCCAAGTGCAATATGTGGATCCTGTTTGAATCCTGATTTGAACAAACCAACTCCACCACTTATTGGTGGTATAACTGAATAAATTACTCTCTCTAAACCTCAGTTTCTCTATCTATGAAATGGAGACAATAATAATCCCCACCTTATAAAGTTATTGTAAAGAGTAAATGAAACAATCTCTTTATAGTATTTAATACAGTGCGGGGCACATGGTAAGTGTCCAATATCAGCTCTCACCATCATCATCATCTTTTGAAAAGCACACACACATGTAACCTACCACCAAGGGCATCAGTTAACTGATCCAGAGTGGGCTCTGGATGGTTCCTGAGCAGGGTGTAGATGGACATCACCATCCCAGGGGTGCAGAAGCCACACTGTGTGCCGTGACACTTGGCGACCCTCTCCTGGAAACACAAAAAGGTTAGAAATGCAGAATCTTGTGCCCCACCCCAGACCTACTGAGTCAGAACCTATATTTTAACAAGATGCCCAGGCGATTCGTTTGCACATTAAAATTGAAGAGGCCCTGAAAACCCTTCTCATCCTAGGTGTCTCCTTTTCTTGGGCTGGGCGGCTGTGATCACTGGTCTTCACCAGGTTTCGAGCTTCATTAAAGGTTCTCAGCCTTCAGAATCCCCAGGGGAGCTGTAAACTGCCCAAGCAGCCCCCACGGTGTTGACTTAGGCTCTCGGGGGTGGGGCACGGACAGACATTTTTTAAAGATTCCCCGGTGGTTTCAATGTGCAGTCCAGAATGGGAATCACCGAGATAAATCCCTTTAAGTCCTTCAGAGACAGAAACCAAATTACATTCAAGTGGAGAAAAAACAAAACGCCTATTTCTCGCATGACTTCTGTCTGCCTACTACCGCCCTGAGGCTTTCGTGCACAGGAGTTTGTTTACAAAGCGCCACCGTTAACTCAGAGAACACTCAAGAAGGGAACATTATCTCTTTACTGCTGTCCAAACGTCCCCCCCAGCGCTCTCCCTTTGGAGTCTAACTGCAGAGGTGCAGCCCTGCTGTGGAAGCCAGCTTCTGGCGAGGCTGCAACAGCAGCACTCACTGAAGGAAAGGGTGCTGTCGACCTGTGAACAGCCAATTCTCACAAGGGCACCCAGGCAGAATTTGCTCCCTCTGGGTAATGAAGCTTCACAGAAAATAAACAGAACCCAAGATTCCTGCAAGTCCAGAGGATTTCAAGTTTGGCCATTTTCTATGTTGTCCCTCTCTTTTCCCTCTTGCACCCTATCCTCATAAGTGACCCTCATAAACCAAGATAAAAACAAGTAGCAACAGCATTTTTAGGGGCGATGTCTCAGTCATGTAAGGAGTCAGGAGTCTGAGGTGCCCTTTCACTTGAGGCAGTGATAACAAGGCGCTGCCTTAGGAGAGAAGCCTCTAAATTCACTGACAGCTCCTATTATCTGTCTTCTGAACAAGCCTTAAATTTAACGAAGCTTTTTGGTAGCTGACATCTTCATTTAGCTTTAAAATCATGTTAGTGTCAGCTTTATGAAAAACAACAAAATTATATCACTCGATGCATGTGCTTTCGTTTCTTTGAGTTTGAAGACAGAAGATGGACAGGTCCCATCTCATGAGAGTGTAGAAAACAAACTCAATGACATCAGGATTTTCTTTAAAAGGAGAAAATCCTCCAGTCTTCCGAAAATGATCTTCCCAAGAAGTCAGTCACCAAACACCCACGGGGCCCAGCTTTCTCTCCAGACCCCAGCTTGGTCTCATCTGTTGGCAAAGACGAAGCAGCAGGCCCCGGCTGCTCTACTGCACTCATCTCAGGACTAATCAGGTCATTAATGGTTTTCACAGAACAGACACCCACGAGGAAGAGGCACACCCTCACCTGAACAGGATGAATCCTGGCCTTGGTGCTTCCTACACCTTCTACTGTGGTGACAGCAGCACCGTGCAGAGAACAGATGGGGAGCAGACAGGCATTGGCTGGATAATGTCTTCAGAATGCAAAAGAGAAGCACGAGTTACATTGTATCCAGTGGCAAAGGGGACCGAGCACTCACTGAGCACCTCTAATATGGAGGTTTTGTACAAAGTCCCAGGCTTTGCATATGCATTTTATCCTTAGCTCAAGGCCATTTTACAGAAGTAGAATCTGAGGGTCAGAGTGATTTGCTCAGGGTCACAGCTGGAGTGTCACAGATTGCATGCAAATTAGGTCTTCTAATTCTGACTCCAGAACAGTTTCCTCTAATTTGTTTTTTCCCTTGAATGAGGGGCTGACATTTTCCTCTCTAGTTACATGAGACCAACCACCAAGAGCAAATTCCATCTTCTGGGCAGGCGCTCGGCCAGGGTTGGCTGCACAACAAAGTGAATTTGATATTGCGCTTCAGAGGCAGAAATACGGTGTGGGATACACACCTCCTCAATCCCACAAACCTTCTGCTAGAAAATGTCCAACTCAAAACGCCTCCTAAAAAGTTCTCATTCACCAAACAGAGCTACAAATGGCCAATAAATACTTGAAACGTTCAATCTCAAAAATAATCGAGAGATTCAAATTAAGCAATGAGAAACACCATTTTTATCAAAGAAAATGACAATTTTTTTTAAAAAAATTGTAATATGCATAATTAGCAAAGGTTTAGGAAAATGGAACTCATACTTCTGATAAGAATGTAAATTGATAGAGCTCCTCTGGGAGACATTTTCCTGGAAGGCACAAAAACCTTCAAGATGCACACACTCCTTTACCCTGCAACTCCATCTCTATGGATGGATCAGAAAGAAACAGTCACAAGCATAAACAGAAACATATATATATAAATGAATGCTCACTCTCATTCTAAAAACCAAAACAAGCCATATAAGCTACACAATCATAAGATTTTAAAAACTCATTAGATGCTGAATACCTAAAAAAACTTAAATGAACTAAACTCCATTAAGCACAAGCCCTTCACAAGAGAGAAGAGTTACCGCTGTTCTCATTTCTGATTGAAAGGGACAGAGCAGGAGGAATCCGCCTTAGACAGGAGTAAGGAGAAAGCAGACCAACTTTCAAGAAGCCTTAATAATCACATGTGGACTGATGCAACAAATTAAAATACAAAGCTAGACTGCACTATCCCCACCAGACTTCACTGAGTGCTGAGGGTAACACCCTAGAAATGGGGCAGGCAGGGAGTGCTGAAAGAAGCTCTCTGGGCACAGTGGCTCTTAGACAAGGAAAAGTGAGAGAAAACTGTAGGCACTCAGGTCCCAGAGTGTAGGGGAGCTGCCACCTTCCAGATGCTAAAGACAGGGTGGCATGGCTGCAAGAGATCTCCCAGAGCCAGAGAGTGAGACAGGAGAGCAAAGAGAACTCCTCAGTGACCCAAGAAGTGGGCAGCCAGGCTGGAAAGCCGGGAGGGAACCCCAGAGTTCAGGAAGCAGGTGGCTTGGTTGTGGAACACAGGCAGATCTCCGAAATCTCGCCAGTGCTCAGATCCTTAGCTCCCATCTGACATTTGTGGAACGATGTAAAATGGTCCAAAACATGCATAATTGGAGCCTCAGAGAGGGAGAGAGAGAGAGAATAAATATTTGAAGAGATAATGACTTGAGAATTTTCCAAAGCTGATAGAAGACATCAAGCCACAGATCCAAGAAACTTGGCAAACTTGAAGAAGGATAAATATCAAACATAAAGAGAAGATATTAAATGTAGTGGGAAGCCATTGGTGATTTTGAAGTAGGAGAGTGTTGTGATCTGGTTTATCTTGAAACAGATCTCTCTGAGTGATGTATGGAGAATGCATATATGGGAGAAACGGTGACATAAGTGATACAAGAGTGTGATGATGACATCCTTCTTCACTGCATTTCAGCCCTTCCTTCCTCCTCAGACAGCACAGGGAGTCAGAAGGCCTTTCACCTCCAACAGGGGATTCTTTGAACATATGTTATCCCCATCAGGGTACATTTTTTTCCTAACCCATTCACATTCCTGAGACCAGGTCTGTTTTGTTCACATTGTACTCCCAGTGCTTAGCACAGTTCCTGTCACACAGCAGGTGCTCAATGCATATTTACCAAAGGGAGGAATGAAACAAAGTTCAAAGCGACACAAATTCAACCATATCTGGACTTTGCTGCAACGTACCTTATCCTCTTGGTAATGGGGTTATATCGTGAGATCATCACAGTGCAGGCGCCACAGCCGCCCCCTCCACAGCCATACTTGGTTCCCGTGAGCTGGACTGGAAAACGCATAGTTAAAGATCATGTGTTTCCCATAATTCTTTGCAGAATAGCTCTGCCCTTAGAGGACAACACCTCAAAATCTCTTAAATGTACAGTTAAGTTCAGTACATATTTATCAAATGATGTATGTATGTCTTTGCTATTATTGAGAACACTGTAAATTCTTAATTTCTGTCTCTGGGTTATATCTAGTTCCCTCCTTTTCAAAATAACTTGATTTCAGGTTGCTAAAAACAGGGCCAAACTGAAAATACATTAAATGCTTGAGTATTTGAAAGTAGGAGTACAGTGCGCATCTGTTTTCATCCTTATCTGTGTCTTTGATGACATACAAAGTAAAATGTTAAATTGTAAATTCTTGGAATATAAGTGTCATAGTGTCCATGTTTGTCATGTTTCTCCGCTTCTCAGTGGCAGAAACTGTTAGTTGTTCCCCAATATCTGCTCTCTCATTCTTCCCTGGTAATAGAAACCTCAATTTTTTAGCTACACACATAGGTGCCCAGAATAAAAAATACATTTCCCCAGCCTCCGTTGCAGCTAGGTGGGGTCATTAACAATGCTTGCCAATGGGATGTAAGCACAAGTGTTGTGTACAACTTCCAGGAGGGAAAGGTCCTCAAAAAGAGATGGGTGCCCGGGGCTGGCCCCATGGCCGAGTGGTTAAGTTCGCACGCTCTGCTGCAGGTGGCCCAGTGTTTCGTTAGTTCGAATCCTGGGCGGGGACATGGCACTGTTCATCAGACCACGCGGAGGCAGCGTCCCACATGCCACAACTAGAAGAACCCACAACGAAGAATATACAGCTATGTACCGGGGGGGCTTTGGGGAGAAAAAGGAAAAAAAAAAAAAAAGAGATGGGTGCCCCCTTCTTAATCTCTTACTTCTTCCCATTTTCTGGAATTCACATATGATGGCTGGACCTCAGTCAGTCATCTCTGACTGTGAGGAGAAAGCTGTAAGCTGATGAAGGTGGAGCGGCAAGACATAAGGAGCTTGGTTCTCTGATAGTGTTGACACACTGCTTTACTAGTCCTGATCTATCTACCTTTGGGATTCCTTTATGTGACTCGGACAGCCATGAGAATGCACCTTACAGACCTCCTTCAACATGGCGGGTAACTGATCATGAGACCCAGATGCTGCACTTTTATATCTACCACCCCAGTTTTCATTAAGGCCATGCCTCCCACGGGCTGCTCCCCATTAACGGCTCAGTTCTGTGAAGAGACACAGGAGTCCTTGCCATGAGCCTCACCCCCAATAGCTTTGAGGAACATTCCTCGGACTGCACAGCAGTCTAAGACCCTTCCACTCAACCTCCTCTCCCTCTCTTCTTTACAGGTCAGTCTTGTGTTGCGGTCTAATGGCTCCCTAAGCCTTCTCTGGCTCCCTTCCTATTTCCATTCACTCAGGCATTTCTCCTAATAAAACCCTTGTACACTTAATCCCATTTTTTGATGTTTGCTTCCCAGAGAACCTGAACTAACACAATGAGAAAGAAATTAACTTCTATCTTCTATCCTGTTTGCTGCTATTTGGGATTTTCTGTCACTCATGAGTGAACCAAATCTGAAATATTACACATTTGCACCATGGATAACCAGGAAATCAGTGTTCATTGTTTCTATGTCCAAAGGTCTTGAATTACTTTCAGAATATAGTCATTGATGCCTTTTGAATTGTGTAGTTTTTTGGAAATTTCACTCTCTCCAGGGGAAAAAAATGTACAAACTCCCATTGTCACATAATTTTGCATATAATCTAGTGGGGTCTACAGGCCTCTGGAAGCCCACTGGAATTCATGCATAGCAGGCTAAGAATCCATTCCTTAGCCGACTTTTATTTAGAAAGGTTTTCTAAGGTAACACTTTCAGGTTTAATTTCTGCATTGTTCCTTTACTTTCATTTTGGGAGATTTCTGTGCTCTCTTTCTCTAACGGGCATGATAATTAGTCCTTGAAGAAGGATTTTCAATATTGTGACTCTCAATCCTAAAGATGGTTAATTAAGCCCTTTTAACATTTGCTTTAATTCCCATTGCTAGATTCTTCTTTTTGTACAATACATTTAGTGCCAAAACAGAGATTAGAAAGAATGTCTTCTGACAGCCACAATTGTGCTCTGCCTACAAAACTAAGATGTAGGACTTTCTTAAAGAAGAACATAAAACCAAAATTGTAGGGAATATGATTCAGTGTGGCTATAAAAAGATATGTGAAATATCACCTGATGAGGATATCAGAGCTGCACACACAGACGACGCACACACTCAAAGCAAAGAAAAGGATACGCTTCTTCCTCAGGTATGGTAACAGCATTGTTTCAGGATCAACATTTTTTTCTATCACCTGTACCAGAAACAAAAGAAGAGTTACGCAGATAAAGTTGAGAGAGCTAGCATAATATTCACATTGGCAGGCTTATCATAATTTGATGGAAATATACATTAATTAACTCTTCGACTCATATTTTCAAGTTGATTTAATCTCTATGGAACACCTGGGATATACAAATCACCTCTCTTAAGCATAAAGTCTAAATCTGGAGCCCCACAACCACTTTGCCACTGTCCTTGGTCCTGCATCATCACTATTCTCTAAGGCCGTGGGTGTTTCTACTAACAGGAACACCACTGATGTCTGCAAAGTTTCTCTTAGAAAGCCTGAAGCAGGTGAGGGAGAAGATACTCGCAGAGCAGACTAGAAGAGAAGGAGGTGGAGGGCAGCTGCTGGAACAGAATGGCCTCCGAGAAACTGCTTTAGTTTTTGTAAAAAAGACTTATTTGCTTATCATGTTCAAAGAGTTGCAGTTTTCAGAAAGAGATCACACCCAACCATAGCCCCCCAACCAAAGAAACAAAGGGTAAGACAAAAATGTGTATGCCCAGGATACAAAGATGTGCAAGCAAGGGCACACTTCTGAAGCAAGTCTGTGTGGGCAGCCTGGCAGCGCAGCAACAGAATGGCGGCATCCAGGGGACGGCATATTGAAATGTCATGATGGGTTATGTTTTCCAAAGTGACCACGTTTCCTCTTTTTTGATTAAAAATTTGGATTTCTTGAGTGACGTCAGCATCACGGTGGAGTGGGCTCTTCACTTGGACTTTCCCCTCTAAGAAACGACCAAAAGGACATTCATACACCAACAAAGGTACACACATCACAAAAGTCATATGGGAGACACACACAGCCATACGCCTCAAGGTGGTGATGGGGTTGGACCCTCTGGAGAAAGTGGAAGCTGCTCTGCAGGAGCTCCATGGAGGGAGATGGGCTGTGGCGGCAGGAAGTGTGCAGGTGAAAATGGGGCCCTGTTCCTGGTGCTCCAACCCCAGAATCGTCTGCAGCGTGGTGCAGAGAGTGTGGTAGCCATGGAGGGGAAAGGGAAAGTGTACAGTCCTGCAACTTCCCAGAGCTCTGTACAGAGAGACCAGCAGGGGCTGCGGTAGCACTGGGTAAGGAGAGTACCCCTCCCTCTGCCCCGTGCTCCAGATCTGCCACTGATCAGTCACTCAGAGAGAAAAGCAGCCAGTGGCTGGAGCTGGGGAGCCCCTGCTTGTGCCAGGCCCAGAATACACAGTGCCTTATCCCCATCCTGCGGCGCACATGGCAGGTGCAACCTGATAAGAACACCTTGAGTAAGCAAAAATCTACCCCATCAAGCAGTATGAGTAGGTATATTAAATCTCCAGACCAGAAGGAAAGTGCCAAGTACCCAGAAACCAACCCTGAAGGAACACAAATCCATAACCTAAATGACAAAGAATTCAAAAGAGCTATCATAAAAAAACTCAACAAGTTACAAGAAAACACAGAAAGACAAATTCACGAATTCAGGAGCTTCTTCACAAAGGAGATTGAGATCATAAGGAAGAACCAATCAGAACTGTTGGAGATGAAAACCACAATGGATGAAATAAAGACAAATTTGGATTCCCTAAAACAACAGAGCTGACAATATGGAGGAGAGAATCAGCCAGTTAGAGGATAGTACTAGAGAAATGCTTCAGAGGGAGAAGAGAGAACTAAGACTGAAAGGAAATGAAGAAGCTCTCAGAGAAACATCTGACTCAGTCAGGAAAATGCAACATAAGGATTGTAGGTATTCAAGAAGGGGAAGAGAAGCAGAAAGGAGCAGAAACCTTGTTCAAAGAAATAATAGTTGAGAGCTTCCCAAACTGGGGGAGGGAGCTGGAAATCCATGTGAAAAAGACCTCCAGAGTTCCTAACTTTGTTAATGTAAAAAGCACCACTCCAAGGCATATACTAGTGAAGCTGGCAAAAGTCAAAGACAAAAAAAATATACTAATAGCAGAAGGCAGAAGAAAATGACTTACAAAGGAATCTCTATCGGGCTTCCAGTAGATTTCTCAGCAGAAACCTTCCAGGCTAGGGGAGAGTCAAACAATATATTCAAAATCCTGAAACACAAAAACTGTCAGCCAAGAATACTCTATCCAGCGAAAATCTCTTTCAGATATGACGGAGAAATAAAAACTTTCCCAGGTAAACAAAAGCTAAGGAAGTTCATTGCCACAATACACCCCATATAAGAAATCCTCAAGAAGGCCCTCATATCTTAAAAAAAAATAGGAAAGGGGCTATAAAGCCCTCAGCAACGAGATGAATAGGTAGGCAATAATCAGAAAACGGCAGCTCTCTTTCAGATCAGGTTAGAAAAGACTTAACTTTGACATCAAGGATAAAGAAAATGAAAATACCAAAACAAAAATAATACCATCATTTTAACCACAAACTCACAACACAAGACGGAAAAAGATATGACAAAAATAAAAGGGGAAGAGGAATGGGATGGAGTCAGTATAGTCTAAGGAAATAAAAGGCTATCAGAAAATGGACTATCTCAACTATGAGATTTTTTTATATGAACCTAAAAGTAACCACTAAACAAATAATTAGAACAGAGATATTTATGATAAACAAGGAGAAGATGAAGAAAATCAACAGAGAAAACTACCTAATCAAATTTGTAGTCTGAAATACACAGAACGAGAAACAAAGCAAATTCAGAAGAATCAGGAAACATGTAATAAGATGGTAATATTAAGCCCTCATATATCAATAATCACTCTAAATGTAAATGGATTGAATTCTCCAATCAAAAGACACAGAGTGGCAGGATGGATTAAAGAACAAGACCCAACAATATGCTGCCTCCAGGCAGCATCTCAAATCTAGAGACAAACATAGGCTCAGAGTGAAGGGATGGAAGACAATACTCCAACCTAATGGCAAACGAAAGAAAGCAAGCGTTGCCATACTTATATCAGACTAAGTGGACTTCAAGATAAAACTGGTAAAGAGAGACATAGAGGGGCAGGATGTAATGATAAAAGGGACTCTCCACCAAGAAGACATAACACTTATAAACAAGTATGCACCCAACACAGGAGCACCAAAGTACATAAAGCAACTATTAACAAACCTAAAAGGAGATATCAATGACAACACAGTAAGAGTAGCGGACCTGAACACCCCACTTACATCAATAGATAGATCATCCAGACAAAAAGTCAACAAGGAGATAGTGGACTTAAATGAAAAACTAGACCAGATGAACTTACTAGATATATACAGAATACTCCACCCCCAAACAGCAGAATATACATTCTTCTCAAGTACACATGGAACATTCTCAAGGATAGACAATATATGGGGAAACAAGGCAAACCTCAATAAATTTAGGAAGATTGAAATCATATCTACTATCTTTTCCAACCATAATGCCATGAAACTAGAAATCAACTACAAGAGAAAAGCTGGAAAAGGAACAAAAATGTGGAAACTAAACAACATGATACTGAACAACCAATGGGTCATCAAAGAAATAAAGGGAGAAATCAAAAAATATTTGGAGACAAACAAGAATGAAAACACACCATACCAACTCTTATGGGATGCAGCAAAAGCGGTCCTAAGAGGGAAATTTCTAGCAATACAGGCCCACGTTAACAAACAAGAAACAATAAACAATCTTAAACTACACCCAACAGAATTAGAAAAAGAAGAACAAACAAAGCCCAAAGTCAGCAAAAGGAGGGAAATAACAAAAATCAGAGCAGAAATAAAGGAAATTGAAACAAAAAAGACTGTAAAAAGGATCAATGAAACAAGGAGCTGGTTCTTCATAGGATAAACAAAATTGAGAAACCCTCAGCTAGACTCACTAAGAAAAAGAGAGAAGGCTCAAATAAATAAAATCAGGAATGAAAAAGGAGAAATTACATCAGACATCACAGAAATACAAAAGATTATAAGAGAATATTATGAAAAACTATATGCCAACAAACTGGAGAATCTAGAAGAAATGGATAAATTCTTAGACTCTTACAACCTCCCAAAACTGAATCAAGAAGAAACAGAGAATCTGAATAGACCAATCACAAGTAAAGACATTGAAACAGTAACAAAAACCTCCCCAAAAATAAAAGTCCAGGACCAGATGGCTTCTCAGGAGAATTCTACCTAACATTCAAAGACAATGTACTACCTGTTCTTCTCAAACTATTCCAAAAAACTGAGGAAAATGGAAATATTCCTAACAGATTCTACGAGGCCAGCATCACTCTGATCCCAAAACCAGACAAGGGCAACACAAAGAAGGAAAATTACAGGCCAAGATCACTGATGAACATAGATGCAAAAATCCTCAACAAAATATTGGCAAATCAAATACAACAATACATTGAAAAGATCATACACCACGATCAAGTGGGATTCATACCAGGGCCACAGGGATGGTTCAACATCCACAGATCAATCAATGTGATACACCATATTAACAAAAGGAGGACCAAAAACCACATGATCATCTCCATAGATGCAGAGAAAGCATTTGACAAGATCCAAGATCCATTCATAACAACAACTCTCAATAAAATAGGGATAGAAGGAAAGTTCCTCAACATAATATAGGCCATATACGACAAACTCACTACCAACATCATACTCAGAGGGGAAAAACTGAAAGCCACCCCGAACTGAGAACAGGAACAAGACAAGTGTGCCCACTCTCACCACTCCTATTTAACATAGTGCTGGAGGTTTTGGCCAGAGCAGTCAGGAAGGAAAAAGAAATAAAAGGAATCCAAATAGGCACTGAGGAAGTGAAACTCTCACTGTTTGCAGACAACATGATTTTATATAGAGAAAACCCTGAAGAATCCGTCATAAAACTATTAGAAATAATCAAAAACTACAGCAAAGTTGCAGGATACAGTCAATGTACAAAAATCAGTGGCATTCCCATACTCTAATAACAAACTAACAGAACAAGAACTCAAGGGGCCGGCCCCATGGCCAGGTGCTCTGCTTCAGCAGCCCAGGGTATTGCCAGTTCAGATCCTGGGCGTGGACATGGCACTGCTTATCGGGCCACATTGAGGCAGTGTCCCACATGCCACAGCTAGAAGGACCCACACCTAGAACATACAACTATGTATTGGGGGAATTTGGGGAGAAAAAGCAGGAAAAAAAAGAACAAGAAGTCAAGAATACAACCCCATTTACAATAGCAACAAAAAGAATAAAATATCTAGGAATAAATTTAACCAAGGAGGTGAAAGACTTATACAAGGAAAACTATAAGACATTACTGAAGGAAATCAATCATGACATAAAGAAATGGAAAGATATTCCATGCACGTGGATGGGAAGAATAAACATAGCTAAAATGGCCATGCTACTTAAAGCAATCTACAGATTCAATGCAATCCCAATCAGAATCCCAATGACATTCTTCACAGAAATAGAACAAAGAATCCTAAAATTCATATGGGGCAACAAAAGACCCCGAACAGCCAAATAAATCCTGAGCAACAAGAACAAAGCCGGTGGCGTCACAATCTCTGACTTCAAAACATATTACAAAGCTATAGTAATCAAAACAGCATGGTACTGGCACAAAAACAGACACACAGATCAATGGAACAGAACTGAAAGGCCAGAAATAAAACTGCACATCTAAGGACAGCTCATCTTCGACAAAGGAGCCAAGAACATACAACAGAGAAACGAAAGCCTCTTCAATAAATGGTGCTGGGAAAACTGGACAGCCATGTGCAAAAGGATGAAAGTAGATCATTATCTTTCTCCACACACAAAAATACACTCAAAGTGGATCAAAGACTTGAAGGTAAGACCTGAAACCATAAAACTTCGCAAAGAAAATATAGGCAATACACTCTCTGACATCAGCCTTAAAAGGGTCTTTAAAATATGATGTCCACTCAGACAAGGGAAACGAAAGAAAAAATAAACAAGTGGGACTTCATCAGACTAAAGAGCTTCTGGAAGGCAAAGGAAACCAAGATCAAAATGAAAAAACAATCCACCAAGTGGGAGAATATATCTGCAAATCAGATATCTGATAAGGGGTTAATCTCCATAATATATAAATTGCTCTCACAAATGAACCACAAAAAAATAAACAACCCAGTCAAAAAGTGGGCAGAGGATATGAAAAGACATTTTTCCAAAGAAGATATGCAGATGGCCACTAGGTACATGAAAAGATGCTAAACATCACTAATCATCAGGGAAATGCAAATCAAAACTACACTTAAATATCATCTTATGCCTGTTAGAATGGCTATAATCACCAAGACAAAAAATAATAAATGTCGGAGTGGGTGTGGAGAAAAGGGAAGCCTCATCCACTGCTGGTGGTAATGCAAACTGGTACAGCCACTGTGGAAAACAGTATGGAGATTTCTCAAAAAATTAAAAATAGAAATACCATATGATCCAGCTATCCCACTACTGGGTATCTATCCAAAGAACTTGAAATCAGCAATTCAAAGAGATTTGTGCACCCCTATGTTCACTGCAACATTATTCACTATAGCCAAGATGTGGAAGCAACCCAAGTGCCCAGCGACTGATGATTGGATAAAGATGTGGTGTATATATACACAATGGAATACTACTCAGCCATAAAAAAGACATAATTGTCCCATTTGCAACCACATGGATGGACCCTGAGGGCATCATGTTAAGCTATTAAGCCAGACAGAAAAAGACAAACACAGTATGATTTCCCTCATATGTGGAATACAAACAAACTTACGGACAAAGAGAACAATTTAGTGGTTACCAGGAAGGGGTGGGGGAGAGTGGGCACAAAGGGTGCAGGGGCACATTTATACGGTGTTTGACAAATATTAATGTACAACTGAAATTTCACAATGTTATAAACTATTTGGACCACAATAAAAAATTTTTTTAAGAATTGGATTTCTTTTAGATTCACAAAACAAACAGAGGCACGATGCTTCGCAGTTTCAGAAGCAGAGTTCATGTTTCACTGTGTTATGTGAATTCCCACCTGGGAAGCAGGTGAGGAGGGGACATGTGCTTATTCTCTGGAT